AATGCAAAAAAGCCAGCTGTTTGTTGGAGCGCTATGAGCGCACCAAAGGTTTGCCACTGCAATCCACAGTGACCGCCCTGCAAAATGCATGTCGACAATTTCATAGTCTGGACACTTGGCAGGATTTCTTCCAGGCGATTCATGTGGAGATGCCACAGCAGGCCATTTCACCCTGGCTGTTGAGGTGTGCCAGACGATCTGCAAGGAAGGGCTACCATCGTTCCAGGCGGCAATTCATGAACTGAAGCAACAGGCAGAATTTTGTGGAGAATTTCCACCATTTTGAGGCGAAACTGCCACGTGGCAATCGTGGCAGGCCATTTTGATCCTAACCTTTAGCACTGCCCAAAGTGCCACCGTGGATTGTCGGTGGGACCATGGGGATTCTGTTCAGTGTACAGATGCAGAGGTTGTTTGCTGTACAGATCTTTAGGACTCAACATTTTGGCAGTCCTAATGCCAGAAAGACGGGGCTCACTTGCTTGACTCTCAGAAGCACATTTTCATGGCGAGATCTGCATGCGGACAGTGTGCCATAGTGGTTGGAATGCGATCAAAATTTCAAGATGAAGGACAATAGTCGAACAGTTGAGTTCCATGGCGTCACAGCACCTCCAAATGCAGCTTGAATGGTCCTCAGTCCCGCTAAATTTGATGAAAAGTGGAGGTAGGTGGCAGATCTTGTGACTTTCCCTGTGACAGGAATACCAAGCAAAGGCGGGGCACTGAGGCCTTGTCCAGGTGAATTCAATCAGATGAGAATTCTATGATGCCTACAAAAACCGACCTCCTGATGCATTCTATGTACGTGATCCTACTGAGCTTCTCGTTGTGTGCCGCAGCCTTTGAGTGCTACCAATGCATGCTTAGGTGGCTCTTGAAAAGCAGCGGGAAAAAGAACGCTCTATTGCCCTCCTCAAAAAGAAAGAGCAAGAGGCGTTGCAAGGGATTTTGAGCTTCGGTTGAGTCTGTCTATGATGACCATTTGTTGCCATTTGTCTATCACATTTCTGCCTTCGCTTGTTGAGAGGTTCACATTAAGGACCAACAGCTGCGGGCAGCCAAACAGCGTATCCAGGACAGCTTGCACCATTTTTGCCCCTTTGGTCCCACCATGGATGAGCAGGATGCTTTTTCCTTCAAGCCGACAAGCCGAGCTGATATTCTCAGCCGTGTCACAGATTTTCAGGAGCTGGAGAGCGAGCTTCGGATACCAGGTGGGGGGGACTTTTCGACGCATGTTGTCAGTTGAACTGAAGTTTCGCAGCAGATTCGTTTGCAGAGCTCTCTTTGGCACCTTTTGCAGGCGACGTACCTGTTGACAAGCGATCTAAGGAAGTTCGCACGCATCTTAGTCATTTCAATCCAACCTCGCACCAACCATAACAGATGCACGTAAGATGCAGACACATGAGGGAGATCTTTTGTTTGTACATGATTGATCATGATTGTACATGCAGATGGAGCGCCTTAAAGATGATAGCCTCAACGAGTTACATTGGAAGCGGCCCTGAAAGATGATGAACTCTACCCGAGTCTTGAGGTGGTGATACGAGCCTTCCACCGTTGCTTTCAGCTCGATGACATCTGAACGAATTTCTAGGGTGCCAAAGTGCCCCGCTCCATGCAGATCTGATTTCCAATCCAAACGATTTAAAAGACGAGCTGGCGCAAGAAGTGCTAGTGCTTTTCCTGTCACTTTGTTCTTCAGCTTCTTTTGTAGTTTCACTGCACGACCTGCAGTGCATAGACAAAGGTTGCAAGACGCAGCCTTTTTGAGTCAGAATGTACCCAGCATGAAGCTTCGGCAGTGTTGAAATGTGTTGTCAAAGGACCACCTTGGTAGACAAAGTGAAGCCAACCAAAACCGCTCACAGACATTCACAAACGATGAGTCGGGAGCTTAGCACCTATAATAGGGCTAGCTGGGGTTCGATGTTTTGACACTTGCTGGCAAAGGACTTCACGACTCTGCTTTCAAGTAGAGGTGTATTGAATATTGAAGCTCTGGTGCAGAAAATTGGAGTCTTACATTTTTTTCCTTCAATTTGCAAAGGGTTTCGGGTTTAAGGGCTAGAGAGTTGAAAAGGTTGGGTGACTTGCCGAACTCCAGGATGCCCAGAATTTTCAGGCATGTGCAGAACAGCATGCGAGAGACTCAGTGTATTGAACAGGCAAGCAGCTACGGCGTTCTACCAGTCCCACAACTTCTGTAAGATATTTAGATGGCTCCACATTTCATTCATGATGAGATATGGACTTGCAATGTCCATCAAAGAGCACAACAAGTATCAGACGTCAAAGATTGTCAAAGAAATGTCCGGTGTTGATCACACCTTTTACGATACATTTGCCTGTAGAGCTGTCACCCAGCAATGGTTGCCCGCTCGATGACATCGAAGGTGGGACCTTACAGTGGCAATTACAGTTACAGTGAAGTGGAGAACGAGTAGACTGGAGTAGACATACTCCATGTTCATCAAAGACACCCCTTCGGGATTTTGCAGTTGAAAGCGCTCATTTTGAAAGTGTTCCCCCGTAATCTACAGGTGCACTTTACTGATAGATGATGCAACTCATAGTTCCACTTTAGGACTTAGGACTTCAATTCTTTAACCAGCAAATGGCACAGTCAGATTGTTTGTACTAGTGTCAGTGTATGGAGTGTTTTCCATGCATAACCTTGATGCGATGGGGAATTTTCTATGGAAATAGCCTGCAATAGCCTCTAAACTTCAAAGAATGGATTGCTGTACTAGAGGTGTTGTTGGCAAACATGCTGGGGCCAGTGTATAATTACAGGCACGACTCTTCAATGTTGCTCTACTGCAGGCAGGGCCTGCTGGCTCCAAGCGAGCACGGACATCCAAGGACTGGGCAACGAAGGCTCTTCGGCCGTCAGTTCAAGGTAATAGGTCTTCTAAGCTGGTTTTTGAAATGAAGACACTTTTTACGACAGTATCAAGAAGAGCCAGTTCAGAATCCATTTACATAACGGCAGATGCTTTTTCTTCCTCTCTCTTTCTCTCTTTCTCCCTTAGGAGCCTGTGCAGTCTGAGCGGAGATCCAAGAGAGCTGTTGCCCAGGTGGGTCAGGTGGGTGCTCAGAGCGCCTACTCTGGCTTCAAAGCCGTTTGGCTTTTTGTTCATTCAGTAAAATTGGCTTCCTCCACCTCGTTTCATGTTTATGTGCAGCTTCAAGCAGGTGGCCAAGCAAGCAGCTGGCAAATTTGGTGATTCAAGCATCAGCCGTGCTTCAGCCAAAGGCATCACGAGTATTTTTGAGGTTTCCTCACACAATGTGGGAATTGGTTCAGACCTAAAAGGGATTGCTCTTTTCCATTTCAAGGGGTATCAAAGTATTTTGGGACCATTTGGGACCAAATCAGTGCCTTGTTTGTTTGTGAAATGAGAGACTATCCAAATCGATTGGAAAGGTGAGGCTCCCAGCACAGATATTTTTTTTTGGAGCAAAGGCCTTTTATTATGCCTTGCAGCAGAATTGCTTCCAAGTTCAGAGGCAAGAATCGTGCCCTTGGAATCACCAATAGTTTTAGCTCATCTAGGATATGTAATCAGGGCTGAAGATTCTGACCCATGGCTCCTAGCAGGCGCCCTGCAGGGCCTTGCGTCCTCATCTCTGGGCATTGGCTATGCAGCCTGTGCAGCAGCCCTCGGTGCTGCAGCTGCAGCGGCAGCCGAGGTGAATCCGGATTGCACTGCCGAGGAGGCCAGAATTTTGGCAAATGGATGTTCATTTAATGTTCATCCCCTAAATGATTGTATCACAGCTTTGACACCTTGAAGCCACAGTAGAAATCAGATTAAGTCAGTACAAGAGTGCCTTTGCAATTTGAACTGGACTGCTACAGGTCGCAGCCGCAGCAATGCTTGCTGTTGAAGAGATCCTTGGCTTGTCTGCCGGAAAAGCCTGAGGGCATTTGAGGGTCGCCTTCACAGGGGCCTTTTTGTAGCTTTTGAGAGAGCATGAAAGACGTGCCACTGGCACTTGCCACCGGCACTTGCTCTTGCACCCATTGCAGTCGATGCGGTGCCGATTCCCGCTCGTTCTTTAACTAATCAATTGCCTTCGGGCGCAATTCGTCTTTGCACTGTTCTTGCTGGCTCTTCACGAGTCACTGGGTAGGCTGCAACGCGATTTCAAAGACAAAGACTTGACAATTTTGCATACTATGATGCCCATGCTAATCCTCATCTGCCATCAATCAGCTGGGTGTGTTCCGAGTTTGCTTCCATTGAATTCTGCTAGTGAGAAGGAGCTCAGGTGTGCAATTGCTACCATCACTATCTAATGAGATCAGGTGCTCGAGTGGACAGCCTGCAGTGATTGAAGGGTCCAGTGCAAGTGCAATCCTTGTTCTGCAGATCGGAATTGGTTTCCAACATGCAGCAGGGGCATTTCTGCCTTTATTCCTGATGAACTACTGTAATTCGTTTGCGGCGAGAAGGGGTCCTTTTCCGGTGTTCCCCTTGGTTCTGCAGAACATGTGACGGCCAGCATCCCAATTCAAGATATGCCGGCTTGGCTGCGTACAGGTTTCAAGCAACAGATTCAAGCCTCGAATTCGCGCATCACGCACAGCTGGATCCATTCTGCAAGGTCTCTGATTTGTCATTTTTAGTTGCTCTTCTTGGTTGGCATATCGGCCATGATTGTGAAGACGGGACCCTGCAAGGACATTGCGCAACTTGCGATCTCTCCGCGAGTGCCCAAAAGATGCAAGTGACTAGTGGGACTTTGCAAAGCCAGGACATCAGGGTCTCCAGGGCCTAGCTTGGTGGGGCATTCTTGACTAAAGAAAACCTGAAGCACGATGAATTCCCAAGATTTGACAGCCTATGAGGGGTGGTTTGCATGATCAGCCAGGTTTTGCATCACCTTTCATTTCACGTTTGTTGTTGGATTGGGCTTGAAGCTGCAAGCTGGCCTGGGAGCTTACATATTTGGTAGTTAAGCCCTTTGGCCACTGCGGCACACTCATGGCTGTGCAGAAGCAAAGGCGCGATTCTTCAGAAAAGGGAACAACAATCTTTTCGGAGCACATGAGCACATCTCATCTCGAGTTTCAATAGTCTATTTCAGATCCATTCTTTGCCGTTTTCATGATCTACGCCTTCCTCCAGCTTTTTGCGCAGGCCGCGAATGGACCTTGTTCCAAGCCAGGTGCAGCAACTGTCCAAGTGAGAGGGGATGAAGTGAACTCTGCGTATATCTCTGTCAATGGATTTTGACAAATGTGCTTAGTTCGGTTTTTTGTCCACAATGTATCACAATGTATCACAATGTAAGATTCAATTTGACCCAGAGTGGCTGGATGTTGAAAGTTTAAAGCAAAGTCATTGCAGTAGAGCTAAAGATCGCCTTAGCTGATGAATAGCTGCCAGGTGGCTCCAGCTGTGTGCGGACCCCAAAAGGTGGAGGGATAGGAGTGGAATGTAGAAAAATATAGTGGATATCGAAAAATACCTGCGGAAAGCAGCATCTCTGAGGATGGACGATGCCTCTTTGCAGCTGGCTTCAAGCTGTGCGCAGGGCATGTCGGAGCAGGACAGCAATGAGACACAGGAACTCAAACATGAACGGCGCAGTGAAGAAGCGCTGGGCAGGATCTCTACAACCAGCTTGCTGCGTCGGGGTGGCAAACTCAAATTTGCATGGCAGTCTTCGGCCGAGGAATAGGGGCCAACAAAACGCGGCCATGTCCTGAAAGCAAGGTATGTTAGTTCGTTCCAATCTAGCATGGCTTCCTGATACGGACAATTTAGCAAGTAAATCTGGGAGAAAACTTGAATGGAGAATTGTGTATTGTCTAACATGCTCCTGCGGTTTGCTGTCGCGCTGAGGACCTCGCAGGCGGGTGGTTGACAGACCAACACAGAGACGGATTGCAACATTTGATGGAGATTGGATGGAGGAAGCTTTATTGACCTTCAATGGCTCTTCAAGCTTGGAATGTTTCACGGAATATGGCGCGAATATGATGCCAGTGCATGGAGTTGGCAACAAATCAATACAAGTCAATTCTCCGAGCTTTGTATATATTTCTTTCTTGCTGCAATTTCAGTTCTTTCTTTTCTTCCACTGAGTGACTGACCAGATGGAAGTTTGGAGAAACACTGTGTCTGGAGCTTGGTGCGGAGAAAAGGAAGTACCTGACAGACAAGGATAGAATGGGAAGCACGTTGGGAGCACCTGCCTGGAGACTTTGTAGAGTAATTGTGATGACAAGAAAACGTTAAACGCGATTGAAGCAGATACCTTGTGAAAAACGAGGATATGCACTATAGCATGACCATGCAGGACCATTATATTTTGCTTTGCCGTGTTGGCTCAAACAGGCACCCTATCTCCTAGGCCATGACCGTGCCTTTAAGCTTCAGGGAACATGGGGTACCTTGGCAGACGAAACACACGAGGCTTTCTGCCTTCACTACTTTAGTATACTTTAGTATACTTTAGTGCCTATAGCCTATAGTTATATTGCGAGAAAACTGAAGAGTACTTACAGATCTTACAGTAAAGCCATTTTCTGCAATTTTCTTCCACTGAACCCAAGCTCTCATGCAGTTTGTGGCTGTTCCAGTGGTCTTGGGTATGAGCTCCCAACCAATGCCAAACCATTGGCTGCCTGGCAGCTGAGGATGCACATGGTGGGGCCATTGCAACCTCCGCTGAGATGTCCAAGAAATCCTGGAAGCGCTGGCGCTGTGCGGAGAGGTGCCATTTATGCCACATATCACCTGGTCTTCCACGTTACCAAATCAACAAGATAGCAATGGATGCATCAAAGTTTGATGAGCGTGTTCCCGTTTCTTGCTCTAGAAACAAATATGGACTAGTTCTGATGATGACACAACTGAAAACAGCAGACAGAAAGAAATGGGTTGCCGAGTTGCCGATTCTTTCTTTCCGCGCTGTTTGCTGTTCAAGAAACGACATGCTTCAAGACTGGGCTTGCAACGAATCTAGTACTCAGCAGACATGCAAACTTCAAACACACTGCAACCCGAAGATCAAACCTGCAGACTGCTTGAAAGTCTACTTTCCCCCATTTTCGGCACCTGACAGGAAGCTATCTTCTGCGCATGCATCGGTGCAGGGGCGTCTTGTTGGCCTCCTCAGTGGGCTTTGCAGTCCATAGCCCAAGGATTGGTCATGCTATCGCTACAATGCACACGCTAGTTGCGCACAGAAAAGGATGACTTTGATGACTTTGAACATCAAAATCCGTATGTTCCGTTCCAGATGATTTTCTGCATCCTCAGGTGGTCATCGCACTCCAGCTGTGGCGGTCTCCAATTTGATCGCCCGTTGGGACCCTTGAAGACTGGTTCCGATAGGAAAAATGGGAGGGGGGGGTTGGGGCATGTTTTAGGATGACAGACACATAAACACAAACCCAAACTGCTTGTAGAAATCAGCGATGAATACCGTGGAAGTTGCTTGAGGTGGCAGCGGAGCGGCCGCTGACGTGCACACCCTACGAATGGTGCTGAATGTCCCTTGGATCAAAGCTCACATCCAAATCGCATGATTAGAGAGGGATAACCGGATAACAGAAGTCAGGTGCTTTGGACCACGAAGCTCAGTCCTGACTGCAGCATTTAGGAAGATGCCTAAAAAAACTTGTCCTCTTAGCAAGCAGTATTGCCAGAATGCCTAGAACTTGCTCTGATGGCAACGAGATCTTTAGGTACATGTTCTGATGCAGGCACATGTTTCCATGGATGTGGCTCTGGTGAAGATTCCTTCCCAAAGGTTTGCCCGTGCTGACACCCAAAAATTCCAAAGCTCAATTTCTAGCAAAGATGCAGACTTTGCTGGATATGTTCGGATGTTGTACCTGCTGCTAGTTTTTTGATTTTCAGAATGTTTCTTCCATCAGGTTCTTGTTCATGAAGATACCAGTTGGCCCACTTACAAGATATGTGCCTGTAGAATGCCTCATTCTCCAAAAGAGGCTTTGACATGTGCAGTAGCAGAGTAGAAATTCTGAGTTGTGGACTGCCATTATTTTTCGATGCACTTGCTCCTGCTTTAAGTGTAGCAACAAAAGCAGGTTACTGAAATCTGCAGTGACGCCGAGGATTCGGACCTATGGGAAGCACCAGAAAAAGATGGACCAACCATGGAGGCTTCTCCAAAGGCCAATGGCTTTGAAGCGATGATCGTTGATATTGCTAATTTAATTTACTTGGGGCTTACTCTGGAGCTTCCAAGGGATTCCTTTTCTACATTTGACCTTTGATGGAAGGTGTTCCCTTTGGCAGGTTTCTCCCACCTCCCCTTTGAGCTTGCAAAGTTTGGATAACTTCCGATCGTTCGACTCTCAGACAATGCATACAATATTTCTGCAGCTCCACCGACAAAATGGACAATTTGTGGGAAATAGGGTGGCATTGCCTGCAAGTATTTTGTGTCACTAGTGCAAGTCTGAATGTAGCAAGCCCTGCAGCTTGATTGCATGAAGAGCTGGTTGCAGCTTAAAACATTTACTGCAAGAACTTTGTGGAAGGATTGAGTCTCTTTCCACTCCTTTTTGAACGAGAGTGCATAGATCTTCCTCGAGACCAGGTCACCTCGTCGACTGGAGGCTGGCTTGTTGGAAAGAAGTTGGACATATCCGACTCTTCCTTGGCAATATATACATATATACATACATATTTTCCAGCTCTTCTGCAACAGATTTACTCAGAGAGGGGATCTTCCAGGATGCAGCTCCACGGTTTTTGGGTCTGTCAGGAGATGCGGATCTCAACCGCTGGGCCCTGTACAGTTCATCTGGGCGACGAGGTTTCAACACCAAGGCCCAGTTGGTTTGCAATAAAAAAGTCTTTGAAACACCTCTAGATTTTCTTGAGATCGGTTGAGCGTGTTGATCCTTTTCCAATCCTTTTCCTTGGCAGATCCACAGTGTCCCTCTCGGACTCCGACTTTGGCCTGGCTGGCTGGCAGCTTGAGGCGCCCGGAAAGGCCTGGGGCCCGGACTTGTGCACAGGTTGGTGCTACAACAGCAAAGGCGTTATGGGGGTGATCATCAACCACCCTTCTTTCAGTGCTTTAAGGAACCTCTGGCATCTCAAATAGCTTGGGGCTAGAGGGCGTTTTCTCTTGAGCTTATTGGCTCCGGAGGTTTTTGGGATGTTACCATATTGCTGCATGGTTGGCTGAAATCTCAAGGGGTGTGCAGTGGTAACTCCCGCACATGGATACCCTTCAGTTGTCGCCATTTGAATCTGGACGTAGGAGGATCACATTTTGTTGCTCACGACACCTTGGTGAAGCCAATCCTTCGGTTGGCAGGCTATTCCTTTGCTCGATGCCTGGCAGGCGAAGAAAGGGGTTCTTTGCAATTCTATGTGCCGACAATTGTTTGTGAGTCTTTGAGAGATTGGATTGAAATTCTTCTGAGGGAAAGTCACTATGATGGTTGGGCAAACCCTTCTCCGCACTTATTTTTGGCTATGAATCATTCGGGCTAAGTTGGCCAATTCAGACAAAAAAATAACAAGTGAGCGATGGCCGATGGCTCGTGCATGGTGGAAAGGCTTCAGAATGGCAGCGGAAAGTGGAGCGCATGGCATCAGCTGCCACAGCTGTCCGATGCTCATTTCGGGGCCCATCATCCAACAGGAAATTGGCTGCGGAGATCAACTGAGGTGGCAGAGAAGACGCACTCAGCTGCGCTCCTCGAAACGTGCTTTAGGTGTGAAGCCTGCTTTGCGGATGCTGATTTTTGCTGCTAACTTTACAGCTTTGGGAGTGCATTGAGTATGTCGTTGTTAGCCATCAGATTACGGTATAGTATATTACTATTATTATTATTACTACTATTTTTTAAAGATTATTTATTGAAGAATATTTATATAAGTTTAAGATATATGGGGGACTTTGTCACAGCCAGGTCATGGTCCAAAGCGATTGTGCAGGAGGACACGATTGAGTCACTAGACTAGAGCAACGCTGAGGGGATGAAGCCATGATGCCCAATGATGGTCATTTTTTAAATGTTGATTGATGGTTGATATTGATTGAGCTTGGTTGAAAATGAGTGAATGTGATATTGACATAACGAATGACTAATGACTAATTAATATGAATAAGGGATAGGAAAGAAAAGCCTCAGAATGTGTGCCAGCTGAAGGTATGTGTCCCCAGGATGGCAGTCCTCTGTTCCTGCAGGAACCATCTCTGCACGACGTTCCTCAATTGAGAGTGCTGCTGGCAGAGTCCCTGCAATAGGAAAATCCTGGGATTGGGCATCCTAATTGCGCCTGAACAGCCCAAGGCATGGGGTGATAGCCATTGCATCATTTTTGTTTCTTGGGATGTCTTATGGATTTTCTGTTGCAGCTCAGCACGAAGCTGCAGCTCTCCACGATTTGTCCTTCCTTTTTCCGGTGCAAGGAAGTGGCACAATAGTCAGAATAGATTAGATCTTTCAATGCCATTTTCATTTGCAGATCTGCATTCCTGCAGGGCTGAAATTATTAATTTTATGTCCAACATCTCCGCAGGAAGTTTTTGAGATCTCTCCAGACCACAGCTGTTCAGCTGCTGGATGTAGAACTGCAATGCCACATAATCATAATGCCACAATGTGCAGCTGTTTTGATGAACCACAAGACTCGATGGCTTCGACGTCCTTGAGGTGTTTGTGGTTCCAAAATTAGAAGCCCTGGTGGTCCACTGGGGGCCGTGGCCAAACCGGTACAGTGATGAGCCACCTGCTTCCATGGTGCGACTTGTTGCGACCCTGTCGCGACTGAGATGCACAACCAGAGGAAAACTGGAGTTGGTGAATCATGATCTTTGCTTGGGATGTTATTTATGCCCTTGACCTTGGCATGAGATTCATGTGTGGGGTCCTGGGCAGGACTGCCGAGTTCGAAGTCTATATTATCTTGTGGTTCCATATAGTGAAGATTCGATTGTCCAGGATTGTACCAACGCATCTAAAACATGTTTGAAAGTGTTTTCAGTGAAACATCACCATCGCCCAACTTATTCGCAACACATTTCCAATACAGCTGGAATCATTGGAACATTGGAACCTGGACCAACCCTTCATGGCTCCCGTTTTTTGCTCTCGAGGCTCCGACTCCTGCTGTCGCCACACCAGCGGCCTTGTGCTGCAATGAACACCTTGCGAGTCAGATCCTGAGACCATCTGAGACCATCTGAGTGCTGACATTTTTGGGGCAAAGCTCCATGGAAATCCCATTGGAAATCCCATTGGAAATCGATGGACATGGAATGACATGGACATGTTCCAAGTGGTCTCCGCCCAAAGAACTTGCCCGTGGCAGTCCTTGGGCGCTTTGGGCTTTCGAGCGCAGAACTGACATGTTTGCATTTTGCATCATCCCTAGCAACACAGGTTGATTATGAACTCCCTGAGATTCCATCTTCTAGTGCTTTTTTTGTTTGTTTCAGAATGTCACCTCATGCTACACTATACCGGGCCTGGGGGCAGTACAGGATGGACTGCAGCGTTTTTGGCATTTGGATCGGGTGCTCAAGGGAAAACCATCCTGATAGATTTGATCCTACCTGATGTATCCACAATATTCAAAAAACTTATACAATTATATACAATTATACAATATCTAAATCTATCTATATAAATCTGAATCTAATCTATCTACCGTATGTGTATATTATATATATATACCCATACATTCTGTATATATAGATGAACACACACACACACACACACCTGTAGGACTGTCGGGCCATGATGGACCTGTTCGCTTGGCCGTTGGTGAGAAGTGATATGAAATGATCCTAATCTCGGACATCTGGCGATTGCTTGATTGAGTTTGACAGCTGGAAGGGGATCCAGTCAAAGCAGAGGATCCTGTCAGTCCTTTTCTGGCGTTATTATTTGCCCCAACCAGTCGTCATAGATAAATGCGCGTGTAGCTTGAGTGGTAGATACTATATAAGTATCCCTAGTTCAGGGCTTTCAGATTTATAGCCGGCAACGGCCCTTCATCAAAGGAAGGGCGGATCAAGAAAATCATGTCATCCAACTCCAAATTCTGACTTTGTTGCCACGGGGCTTCACCTCACGTGGCCTGAGCCTCTGAGCTTTTCTGGTGAGGCTGAAACCCAAGTGCTCGTTTGCAGCTTGGACTCAAGCAGATTTCAAATAAACTGCGTTGCGACAGAACACCTGTCTCTCTACGCGGCAATGTTCGAGCCTATGTTAGAGACAGTTAGCGGATGGCTCACCTACGTCGCGGAGTCTGTGCCGTCACTGCAAGAGCCAAATGAGCCTTTGCAGTCGCAAGAGACATTGACAAAAGAGGGCATGGAGGGACTGCTGTCCTCCTTGAAGTTTCCATTGTCGTATGGACATCAGGAGTTCAAGGAACATCGGCCCCACACGCCCCATGAAGCCAAGCTGGTGATCCAAAGCCTGCATGACCTGGCGCGTGCATTGTTTGGAGCCAGGGAGGATGATGCAGTCGTGGCATCTTTCTTGGAGAAGAGGGGATTGAGTCTTCTAGTAGAAGCACTGCTCGCGAAGTCAACTCCCGAGATCATCCGCGCACAGGCGTGGCAGTCGCTGTGCCTAATCCTGCTGAATGTGGAGGACAGCTTTGTGAGACACAGGGGCACACATTCACACACACATGCAGAAAAATGAGATCATATGCCTACTGTATTGACATGCAAAGTCGCCATAAGTCGCCTATTGCTTCTCCCATCATGATTTCAAAGTTGTTCATGATTGGAGCTTGGCGCCAAAATGACCAATTCGCATGCCCACATCCAATACATGTTCGATGTTGCTCTGGAATCCCTGGAATGACAAAGACCGCAGGAGGATGTCTTCCAACGGTTGATCATTGGGCGCGAGCTGGATGTGTTGTGGTCTGGCGAGCCAGATCTTCGAATTGAGGAGCTGGGAAGTTGTGCAAGTTGTGCCCCTTGCGGCGCGAAGCAAGTTCTGTTACAATGGCTCAATCAATCTGACCCGCAATAGAGCTCTATTCGCAAACTCAATTCTTTCTTTTTGATTCATCTGTATTTCAGCGTCAGGAGAATCGGATGAACTTCGTCTCTTGTCTCAAAACAGTCAGCATGCGAATAAACGTGGAGACGCTGCCGTTCCTCATGACAGACAGCGACATCCCGATCCTCAGAGTGGCGATGGCCTACACGGCCCATGAAGAGGCCCTGCTCCGCACCCAGGCGCGCAACGCCATGTTGACACTTTTTTCGAAGATGAAGATGGGCGAGGAACAGCTGTTGCGGACTGCCTTGGAAATGGCAAAGTCCAGGAAGCTTGGTTGAGTTATTGGCAAGTCATGACATTTGACATGACATGTCATGCCCCTGTACTGGATTAGGAAAGGCGTCATGCTGGAAGATTTATGCGTTGTCACGCTTGAATTTCTGGTCCATTTGTTTCTTGAAAGGAGATTGGCACATTGCTCCCTCAGACGTTTCATACTTCACTTGTTGAAACATTCATGAAGTCAGATGTCATTGAGCACATTCGATTGCATCCCAGATTTTCAAGGTTGCCGACCCCTTTGTGCACTTTGCTGTGGCAGAATTGGGCAAACATGGCACAAGCAGCCAAAAACAGGAATGCTCCGGCTTTGCAAAAATGGGCATTCCGTGAAGAGGACTGTATTCCCGGTACCCCACAAAGGAGTGAGAGTTAAGGGGCAATATGGGACACGACCTTCTGAAAAGCGAAGAACAAGGCTTTTGCAAAATCTGAATTCTCAAATTCTCTTTAAGCAGAAGCAACGCCGTACCTCGAGCAGGTTGCACGGTTTTGTATCCCCAAATCTATGTGTACCAAAGAGATGTAATTGGCCTAGGCTTTTGTGAAGCAGACCGTCGATGCGATCAATCCAATAGTGGCCTATTCCCTGGCAAGGGTGTCGGGTGTCCATGGTCCGGATAGCTCGGATAGCTGGGATAGCTGCAGGACCTTTGGGACCATCTGGCCGAACTGATCAAGCTTGACATCACAGACGTCACACAGATGGTCTGTGGTGTTATAGTGGGAAGTCTGGTCTGGAAACTAGGATCCCTGACTCCCACAGATGTGGGAGTGAACCACTGGAGCGCTCCCTTTGTGAAGCTTTTCAAAAGATCCAGCAATAATTCTGTGGGACGGTATTCTTGAGGAAGATTGGGGAATGAATGTGAATACACAACGCAATCTCTCTCTCTCTCTCTAGTATATATATATACAGTGTTGTGGGTCCAAGTAGAGATATTGTATGTGGACATATCTAGTCTATACATGTACTCATATTGTTATGCAGTATTCCGATAAGAATACCATATGCGCATTATATCTATTTTGGGTTTCACCAGAACAAGGAATGTCTGTGGACTCTGGGGGCGTTCTTCCGATTGTGTTGATGCATAAGTGCAGGGTCACTTGAAACTTCGCACAACCAGTCCAGGAACAGCGACGATTTCGACTCAGAGCCGATGATGGCCGTTCCGCCTCCAGGGGCGTGGAATCTGTCGCCGAAGTCCCACACAGAATCAACGGCCTCGCTGTCGGCGGACCAGTCTTCGCTGGAGGAGTGTGCCAGCTTTACTGCGTGTGGGCTTGGAACCGCCATGAAGGTTGCGGAGACGTTCGCCATAGATATGGCATCCAGTGAGCATTGCGCCGCCATGGCTCTGAGAACCCTGGCAACCTACGCGGGAACTCTTCGACACGCAGGCATTGCTTGTGCGCTCATGCCACTTGTGGAGTCTTTTGGATTTATCAGTGAGCTTGAAGGTTATCACTTTGCTGGTCTGGAAACACTAAAGCCGTACAGTCTTTTTCCCTCTTGTTGAGTAGCGTTTGATGTTGGCTGAAATTCCTCACCATACATGTTTTTTTGGTAGACTAGGGTACCAAGAATGAGTCAGGAGCCCACAGATGTATGCTGCACTGTTCAAATCGTTGATTGTTTGCTTGTTTCCTTCCATCCAGAAGAGCTCAGGCTAATCCTTTTGCCATTTATTCCTTCTGGCTCGATTCGTGCCATGGCAGACCTCGATGCGGGCTGCATCACTGAGGCAGGTTTGGAAAGACTTGATACCATGCGCGAGAGGTGTCTCAACTTACTGTAATATTTGCGATACTTAGAAATGCCTAGCGGTTCAGAACCGAACACAGGTAGAAAATGCAGGGTTGAACTTGTTTGCCTGACACTGAAGAGGTCCAGGATGTACGCGTTAGTTTGCAGGTAAGCGGTAAGCAGCCTTTCCAGAACGCTTTTACATTTCATTGCTACATCTTCACTCAAGACTTGATGCAATCATCTCTTGCAAAACCGTGCAGCTACAAATGCATTCTGCATCAGCAGCTGGAGTGCAAACTGATTCAAACTAGAGAGGATCCTCGGTTGTTTGTACTCTCACTCTTCGCCATTATACTTAATTGTACTTAATTATACTTATACTACCTTTTACTGATATGTGTTTTCCTATGTTTTCCTTGGGATCCAAGTAGATCCAGGTGGATACCCGACCTGCAACCACAGTGTGGCAGGACTTGCTCGCCCTGACCGAGCACTTTGTTGCTGGTGCCATGGAAGATTCCAAATTTGTTGCCAGGAACCATGAAGATGGCACGCCGCCAACGCACGAAGAGGAGGAAGCAATGAAGAAAAACCGCGTGGAGTACCTTTTTTTTTACAAGTCAGTCTCGCATCATGCAAATCACTCACTTGGCACATGTATGCACATGTAGCATCACTTTAGCACTTGACTCATTTTCACATCCTTTTCGATACGTGTCTTGCATACAAGTATCGATAGCTGTCATTGATTCAGATTGAAGTGTTTCTTTTTTGCGCCTGTAGACCACATTTCAAAATCTTGTGAGTTGCTTGCCCAAGGTACTGGCAAGGGATGCTGCATGGTGCACATTCGATGGTGCCAGGGCGAGACACGGTGCCCAATCCTTTTCGGGCCGCAATTCTGGCAAAGATGGGCTTTAGCAGAGATGGTATTCTGCCTGCACAGCTCCCCCTTCGTCACCTGGCAAAATTAAGATGATATGTTTTTCCCAGCTTGGTACGTGACGTGTTTGTTACTTGCAGTGTTTTGTTGTCCTGCTGAGAGTTGTCAGGTGCGAATTGCAACACGTTTTCTTTCCAGTCTCTGCTGGATGACAAAACAGCTGCCACTCTTGCGATCATGGAGTTGGAGCGGGCGTATCATGGATCAAAACTGCAAAGGGAGTCTGCCAGTTGTACAAAGGGTTAACATGATTTCAACTACTTCTAAGTATGAAGTACCGGATAAATGGGGTCAAACTATAATCCAGCTATCAGAGATAGGGACCTGTAGTTGCAGTGCTCATTATTTTTATGTTTCAGACCTGCATGGTTGATGAACTGGTGTTGCTGTGTGGGATTCCAGAAACCCTTCATCACGACATGTGGTGTCCTAAATCCTAGCACTGAAAACCAGCAACCCCCAACCACCAAGCAACCGACCTTGATAAGATCTTATATCAGGTGTAGCTGTTTGCGTGTGTCTCTCACCAGAGCTAGGGGTGATTGCCCACTGCCTTGCTTGCGGTTGTTGATGATCATGCAGCTCTCTACTATGATACAAGCTTAAATCAGTAGCGAAGTCTTGCTATGAAGATCTATGAAGTATTTGCTCGCAAAAGATGTTGGGCTTGCCTGTGGTTCATTTGTTTTTCACGCAATCATTTCGACGTATTTCGACTTGTTTTCCAAGGGCTCTCAGTGGGCAAAGCTCCAACGATCCGCCCAGGTATCCAGACTTGCTGGAGCACACAAAGCTCTTGGCACACTCCGCACCGGTTGATCCGGTTGATCCGGTCATCGAAGAACCCACACAGCTTCCAGCGTCCGAAACAGTGCCTGGCACTTTCGCCGAAGCGTTTGCCTGGTTTCTGAAGGCCAGTTGATCGCTTTGGTTCGGAGTTGGTCAGTTGATGTAAGTTTTCTTTGGTCGGATCCTTTTCTTTCCGTTGTTTCCCATTGGTGTCTTTCGAGGTGGGAGGCAATGGCTGCAGCTTCGTGTCATTGTAAGCGAAGATGCTTCATGTGAGTCCCAAAGCCGGACGAACTCAGAACCTGCGGTGATACATCTCAGATTTGGCAGCTGAGCACGACCTGAAGGACATCTTTGACACAGCAATTCAAATCTGAACATCACAAGATGTTGAAGAAATCAGCTGGCTCCAGCCAAATCTACAGATGCAGTAGTTGCAGCCACAATGAGCGAAATGAACTTTAGAGTGTCACCTGAGTTGGGCCATGCTTGGCCATACTTTCAGGTATCGCCGATATCACAGCCACGGCGGAAAAAAACGTGCCATGGCGTACCTATGGGGCGGAACACTGATATTTGTTGATAACACATGAATGGTGGCTTTTATCATAGGGATTGACCATGAAAAATAGTGGTTCAGCTATGAAACATGGGGATTTTAACCAGCAATAGACAGTATTCAAGTGATATGGAACAAAGGAATGGTGGGCTTAGTCATCCAAAATAGGGATTTGACCATCAGAAAGAGATTTGTCCAATAAACATTGGTTTGGGTGTGTCTCAAAATTATGGGGAACAGTGACATCATGATTGTATAACACTTGAGTGGAAAAGCCAGTGGAAAATCTTCCATACTTTTCCGCAACGGAAGAATTTCCCGTTGCCGTGGATAAATTGCAAAAGACCTCACGTCACAACGTCACTGGAATGATGGTGTAGATGTGGGTAGCCATTCCATTTTAGCCGAACTTTTCAAATGAGTGAATTAATGATCGATTTTTATTCAGATCTGTATATCCCAATATATCCCAATATCATTGGGGTTAGACATATATATATATATATACATATGTTACTGAGCCTCACGGGGCTTCACCTCACGTGGCCTGAGCCTCTGAGCTTTTCTGGTCAGGCTGAAACCCAAGTGCTCGTTTGCAGCTTGGGCTCAAGCAGGTTTCAAATAAACTGCGTTGCGACAGAACACCTGTCTCTCTACGCGGCAATGTTCGAGCCTATGTTAGAGACAATTAGCGGCTGGCTCACCCACGTCGCGGAGTCTGTGCTCTCATTGCAAGAGCCAAATGAGCCTTTGCAGTCGCAAGAGACATTGACAAAAGAGGGCATGGAGGGACTGCTGTCCTCCTTGAAGTTTCCATTGTCGTATGGACATCAGGAGTTCAAGGAACATTGGCCCCACACGCCCCATGAAGCCAAGCTGGTGATCCAAAGCCTGCATGACCTGGCGCGTGCATTGTTTGGAGCCAGGGAGGATGATGCAGTCGTGGCATCTTTCTTGGAGAAGAGGGGATTGAGTCTTCTAGTAGAAGCACTGCTCGCGAAGTCAACTCCCGAGATCATCCGCGCACAGGCGTGGCAGTCGCTGTGCCTAATCCTGCTGAATGTGGAGGACAGCTTTGTGAGACACAGGGGCACACATTCACACACATGCAGAAAAATGAGATCATATGCCTACTGTATTGACATGCAAAGTCGCCTATCGCCTATTGCTTCTCCCATCATGATTTCAAAGTTGTTCATGATTGGAGCTTGGCGCCAAAATGACCAATTCGCATGCCCACATCCAATACATGTTCGATGTTGCTCTGGAATCCCTGGAATGACAAAGACCGCAGGAGGATGTCTTCCAACGGTTGATCATTGGGCGCGAGCTGGATGTGTTGTGGTCTGGCGAGCCAGATCTTCGAATTGAGGAGCTGGGAAGTTGTGCAAGTTGTGCCCCTTGCGGCGCGAAGCAAGTTCTGTTACAATGGCTCAATCAATCTGACCCGCAATAGAGCTCTATTCGCAAACTCAATTCTTTCTTTTTGATTCATCTGTATTTCAGCGTCAGGAGAATCGGATGAACTTCGTCTCTTGTCTCAAAACAGTCAGCATGCGAATAGACGTGGAGACGCTGCCGTTCCTCATGACAGACAGCGACATCCCGATCCTCAGAGTGGCGATGGCCTACACGGCCCATGAAGAGGCCCTGCTCCGCACCCAGGCGCGCAACGCCATGTTGACACTTTTTTCGAAGATGAAGATGGGCGAGGAACAGCTGTTGCGGACTGCCTTGGAAATGGCAAAGTCCAGGAAGCTTGGTTGAGTTATTGGCAAGTCATGACATTTGACATGACATGTCATGCCCCTGTACTGGATTAGGAAAGGCGTCATGCTGGAAGATTTATGCGTTGTCACGCTTGAATTTCTGGTCCATTTGTTTCTTGTCAGGAGATTGGCACATTGCTCCCTCAGACGTTTCATACTTCACTTGTTGAAACATTCATGAAGTCAGATGTCATTGAGCACATTCGATTGCATCCCAGATTTTCAAGGTTGCCGACCCCTTTGTGCACTTTGCTGTGGCAGAATTGGGCAAACATGGCACAAGCAGCCAAAAACAGGAATGCTCCGGCTTTGCAAAAATGGGCATTCCGTGAAGAGGACTGTATTCCCGGTACCCCACAAAGGAGTGAGAGTTGGGGGGCAATATGGGACACGACCTTCTGAAAAGCGAAGAACAAGGCTTTTGCAAAATCTGAATTCTCAAATTCTCTTTAAGCAGAAGCAACGCCGTACCTCGAGCAGGTTGCACGGTTTTGTATCCCCAAATCTATGTGTACAGGCTTTTGTGAAGCAGACCGTCAATGCGATCAATCCAATAGTGGCCTATTCCCTGGCAAGGGTGTCGGGTGTCCATGGTCCGGATAGCTCGGATAGCTGGGATAGCTGCAGGACCTTTGGGACCATCTGGCCGAACTGATCAAGCTTGACATCACAGACGTCACACAGATGGTCTGTGGTGTTATAGTGGGAAGTCTGGTCTGGAAACTCGGATCCCTGACTCCCACAGATGTGGGAGTGAACCACTGGAGCGCTCCCTTTGTGAAGCTTTTCAAAAGATCCAGCAATAATTCTGTGGGACGGTATTCTTGAGGAAGATTGGGGAATGAATGTGAATACACAACGCAATCTCTCTCTCTCTCTCTAGTATATATATATATACAGTGTTGTGGGTCCAAGTAGAGATATTGTATGTGGACATATCTAGTCTATACATGTACTCATATTGTTATGCAGTATTCCGATAAGAATACCATATGCGCATTATATCTATTTTGGGTTTCAACAGAACAAGGAATGTCTGTGGACTCTGGGGGCGTTCTTCCGATTGTGTTGATGCATAAGTGCAGGGTCACTTGAAACTTCGCACAACCAGTCCAGGAACAGCGACGATTTCGACTCAGAGCCGATGATGGCCGTTCCGCCTCCAGGGGCGTGGAATCTGTCGCCGAAGTCCCACACAGAATCAACGGCCTCGCTGTCGGCGGACCAGTCTTCGCTGGAGGAGTGTGCAAGCTTTACTGCGTGTGGGCTTGGAACCGCCATGAAGGTTGCGGAGACGTTCGCCATAGATATGGCATCCAGTGAGCATTGCGCCGCCATGGCTCTGAGAACCCTGGCAACCTACGCGGGAACTCTTCGACACGCAGGCATTGCTTGTGCGCTCATGCCACTTGTGGAGTCTTTTGGATTTATCAGTGAGCTTGAAGGTTATCGCTTTGCTGGTCTGGAAACACTAAAGCCGTACAGTCTTTTTCCCTCTTGTTGAGTAGCGTTTGATGTTGGCTGAAATTCCTCACCATACATGTTTTTTTGGTAGACTAGGGTACCAAGAATGAGTCAGGAGCCCACAGATGTATGCTGCACTGTTCAAATCGTTGATTGTTTGCTTGTTTCCTTCCATCCAGAAGAGCTCAGGCTAATCCTTTTGCCATTTATTCCTTCTGGCTCGATTCGTGCCATGGCAGACCTCGATGCGGGCTGCATCACTGAGGCAGGTTTGGAAAGACTTGATACCATGCGCGAGAGGTGTCTCAACTTAATATTTGCGATACTCAGAAATGCCTAGCGGTTCAGAACCGAACACAGGTAGAAAATGCAGGGTTGAACTTGTTTGCCTGACACTGAAGAGGTCCAGGATGCACGCGTTAGTTTGCAGGTAAGCGGTAAGCAGCCTTTCCAGAACGCTTTTACATTTCATTGCTACATCTTCACTCAAGACTTGATGCGATCATCTCTTGCAAAACCGTGCAGCTACAAATGCATTCTGCATCAGCAGCTGGAGTGCAAACTGATTCAAACTAGAGAAGATCCTCGGTTGTTTGTACTCTCACTCTTCGCCATTATACTTAATTGTACTTATACATACTTATACTACCTTTTACTGATATGTGTTTTCCTATGTTTTCCTTGGGATCCAAGTAGATCCAGGTGGATACCCGACCTGCAACCACAGTGTGGCAGGACTTGCTCGCCCTGACCGAGCACTTTGTTGCTGGTGCCATGGAAGATTCCAAATTTGTTGCCAGGAACCATGAAGATGGCACGCCGCCAACGCACGAAGAGGAGGAAGCAATGAAGAAAAACCGCGTGGAGTACCTTTTTTTTACAAGTCAGTCTCGCATCATGCAAATCACTCACTTGGCACATGTATGCACATGTAGCATCACTTTAGCACTTGACTCATTTTCACATCCTTTTCGATACGTGTCTTGCATACAAGTATCGATAGCTGTCATTGATTCAGATTGAAGTGTTTCTTTTTTGCGCCTGTAGACCACATTTCAAAATCTTGTGAGTTGCTTGCCCAAGGTACTGGCAAGGGATGCTGCATGGTGCACATTCGATGGTGCCAGGGCGAGACACGGTGCCCAATCCTTTTCGGGCCGCAATTCTGGCAAAGATGGGCTTTAGCAGAGATGGTATTCTGCCTGCACAGCTCCCCCTTCGTCACCTGGCAAAATTAAGATGATATGTTTTTCCCAGCTTGGTACGTGACGTGTTTGTTACTTGCAGTGTTTTGTTGTCCTGCTGAGAGTTGTCAGGTGCGAATTGCAACACGTTTTCCTTCCAGTCTCTGCTGGATGACAAAACAGCTGCCACTCTTGCGATCATGGAGTTGGAGCGGGCGTATCATGGATCAAAACTGCAAAGGGAGTCTGCCAGTTGTACAAAGGGTTAACATGATTTCAACTACTTCTAAGTATGAAGTACCGGATAAATGGGGTCAAACTATAATCCAGCTATCAGAGATAGGGACCTGTAGTTGCAGTGCTCATTATTTTTTATGTTTCAGACCTACATGGTTGATGAACTGGTGTTGCTGTGTGGGATTCCAGAAACCCTTCATCACGACATGTGGTGTCCTAAATCCTAGCGCTGAAAACCAGCAACCCCCAACCACCAAGCAACCGACCTTGATAAGATCTTATACAGTATCAGGTGTAGCTGTTTGCGTGTGTCTCTCACCAGAGCTAGGGGTGATTGCCCACTGCCTTGCTTGCGGTTGATGATGATCATGCAGCTCTCTACTATGATACAAGCTTAAATCAGTAGCGAAGTCTTGCTATGAAGATCTATGAAGTATTTGCTCGCAAAAGATGTTGGGCTTGCCTGTGGTTCATTTGTTTTTCACGCAATCATTTCGACGTATTTCGACTTGTTTTCCAAGGGCTCTCAGTGGGCAAACCTCCAACGATCCGCCCAGGTATCCAGACTTGCTGGAGCACACAAAGCTCTTGGCACACTCCGCACCGGTTGATCCGGTTGATCCGGTCATCGAAGAACCCACACAGCTTCCAGCGTCCGAAACAGTGCCTGGCACTTTCGCCGAAGCGTTTGCCTGGTTTCTGAAGGCCAGTTGATCGCTTTGGTTCGGAGTTGGTCAGTTGATGTAAGTTTTCTTTGGTCGGATCCTTTTCTTTCCGTTGTTTCCCATTGGTGTCTTTCGAGGTGGGAGGCAATGGCTGCAGCTTCGTGTCATTGTAAGCGAAGATGCTTCATGTGAGTCCCAAAGCCGGACAAACTCAGAACCTGCGGTGATACATCTCAGATTTGGCAGCTGAGCACGACCTGAAGGACATCTTTGACACAGCAATTCAAATCTGAACATCACAAGATGTTGAAGAAATCAGCTGGCTCCAGCCAAATCTACAGATGCAGTAGTTGCAGCCACAATGAGCGAAATGAACTTTAGAGTCACCTGAGTTGGGCCATGCTTGGCCATACTTTCAGGTATCGCCGATATCACAGCCACGGCGGAAAAAGACGTGCCATGGCGTACCTATGGGGCGGAACACTGATATTTGTTGATAACACATGAATGGTGGCTTTTATCATAGGGATTGACCATGAAAAATAGTGGTTCAGCTATGAAACATGGGGATTTTAACCAGCAATAGACAGTATTCAAGTGATATGGAACAAAGGAATGGTGGGCTTAGTCATCCAAAATAGGGATTTGACCATCAGAAAGAGATTTGTCCAATAAACATTGGTTTGGGCGTGTCTCAAAATTATGGGGAACAGTGACATCATGATTGTATAACATTTGAGTGGAAAAGCCAGTGGAAAATCTTCCATACTTTTCCGCAACGGAAGAATTTCCCGTTGCCGTGGATAAATTGCAAAAGACCTCACGTCACAACGTCACTGGAATGATGGTGTAGATGTGGGTAGCCATTCCATTTTAGCCGAACTTTTCAAATGAGTGAATTAATGATTGATTTTTATTCAGATCTGTATATCCCAATATATCCCAATATCATTGGGGTTAGACATATATATATATATTATATATATACACATGTTACTGAGCCTCACGGGGCTTCACCTCACGTGGCCTGAGCCTCTGAGCTTTTCTGGTCAGGCTGAAACCCAAGTGCTCGTTTGCAGCTTGGGCTCAAGCAGGTTTCAATAAACTGCGTTGCGACAGAACACCTGTCTCTCTACGCGGCAATGTTCGAGCCTATGTTAGAGACAATTAGCGGCTGGCTCACCCACGTCGCGGAGTCTGTGCTCTCATTGCAAGAGCCAAATGAGCCTTTGCAGTCGCAAGAGACATTGACAAAAGAGGGCATGGAGGGACTGCTGTCCTCCTTGAAGTTTCAGTTGTCGTATGGACATCAGGAGTTCAAGGAACATTGGCCCCACACGCCCCATGAAGCCAAGCTGGTGATCCAAAGCCTGCATGACCTGGCGCGTGCATTGTTTGGAGCCAGGGAGGATGATGTAGCCGTGGCATCTTTCTTGGAGAAAGATGCCACGACTGCATCATCCTCCCTGGCAACTTGGAGAAGAGAGGATTGAGTATTCTAGTAGAAGCACTGCTAGCAGTCTCAACTCCCGAGATCATACGCGCACAGGCGTGGCAGTCGCTGTGCCTAATCCTGCTGAATGTGGAGGACAGCTTTGTGAGACACAGGGGCACACATTCACACACATGCAGAAAAATGAGATCATATGCCTACTGTATTGACATGCAAAGTCGCCTATTGCTTCTCCCATCGTGATTTCAAAGTTGTTCATGATTGGAGCTTGGCATCAAAATGACCAATTCGCATGCCCATACCCAATACATGTTCGATGTTGCTCTGGAATCCCTGGAATGACAAAGACCGCAGGAGGATGGTTGTGGTCTGGTGAGCCAGATCTTCGAATTGAGGAGCTGGGAAGTTGTGCAAGTTGTGCCCCTTGCGGCGCGAAGCAAGTTCTGTTACAATGGCTCAATCCATCTGACTCGCAATAGAGCTCTATTCGCAAACTCAATTCTTTCTTTTTGATTCATCTGTATTTCAGCGTCAGGAGAATCGGATGAACTTCGTCTCTTGTCAAGAGACGAAGTTCATCCGATTCTGTCTCAACGGTCAGCTTGCGAATAGACGTGGAGACGCTGCCATTCCTCATGACAGACAGCGACATCCCGATCCTCAGAGTGGCGATGGCCTACACGGCCCATGAAGAGGCCCTGCTCCGCACCCAGGCGCGCAACGCCATGTTAACACTTTTTTCGAAGATGAAGATGGGCGAGGAACAGCTGTTGCGGACTGCCTTGGAAATGGCAAAGTCCAGGAAGCTTGGTTGAGTTATTGGCAAGTCATGACATTTGACATGACATGTCATGCCCCTGTACTGGATTAGGAAAGGCGTCATGCTGGAAGATTTATGCGTTGTCACGCTTGAATTTCTGGTCCATTTGTTTCTTGAAAGGAGATTGGCACATTGCTCCCTCAGACGTTTCATACTTCACTTGTTGAAACATTCATGAAGTCAGATGTCATTGAGCACATTCGATTGCATACCAGATTTTCAAGGTTGCCGACCCCTTTGTGCACTTTGCTGTGGCAGAATTGGGCAAACATGGCACAAGCAGCCAAAAACAGGAATGCTCCGGCTTTGCAAAAATGGGCATTCCGTGAAGAGGACTGTATTCCCGGTACCCCACGAAGGAGTGAGAGTTGGGGGGCAATATGGGACACGACCTTCTGAAAAGCGAAGAACAAGGCTTTTGCAAAATCTGAATTCTCAAATTCTCTTTAAGCAGAAGCAACGCCGTACCTCGAGCAGGTTGCACGGTTTTGTATCCCCAAATCTATACCAAAGAGATGTAATTGGCCTGGGCTTTTGTGAAGCAGACCGTCAATGCGATCAATCCAATAGTGGCCTATTCCCTGGCAAGGGTGTCGAGTGTCCATGGTCCGGATAGCTTGGATAGCTGCAGGACCTTTGGGACCATCTGGCCGAACTGATCAAGCTTGACATCACAGACGTCACACAGATGGTCTGTGGTGTTATAGTGGGAAGTCTGGTCTGGAAACTAGGATCCCTGACTCCCACAGATGTGGGAGTGAACCACTGGAGCGCTCCCTTTGTGAAGCTTTTCAAAAGATCCAGCAATAATTCTGTGGGACGGTATTCTTGAGGAAGATTGGGGAATGAATGTGAATACACAACGCAATCTCTCTCTCTCTCTAGTATATATTATATATACAGTGTTATGGGTCCAAGTACAGATATTGTATGTGGATATATCTAGTCTATACATGTACTCATATTGTTATGCAGTATTCCGATAAGAATACCATATGCGCATTATATCTATTTTGGGTTTCAACAGAACAAGGAATGTCTGTGGACTCTGGGGGCGTTCTTCCGATTGTGTTGATGCATAAGTGCAGGGTCATTTGAAACTTCACAAAACCAGTCCAGGAACAGCGACGATTTCGACTCAGAGCCGATGATGGCCGTTCCGCCTCCAGGGGCGTTGAATCTGTCACCAAAGTCCCACACAGAATCAACGGCCTCGCTGTCGGCGGACCAGCCTTCGCTGGAGGAGTGTGCAAGTTTTACCGCCTGTGGGCTTGGAACCGCCATGAAGGTTGCGGAGACGTTCGCCATAGATATGGCATCCAGTGACCATTGCGCCGCCATGGCTCTGAGAACCCTGGCAACCTACGCGGGAACTCTTCGACACGCAGGCATTGCTTGTGCGCTCATGCCACTTGTGGAGTTTTTTGGATTTATCAGTGAGCTTGAAGGTTATCGCTTTGCTGGTCTGAAAACACTAAAGCCGTACAGTCTTTTTCCCTCTTGTTGAGTAGCGTTTGATGTTGGCTGAAATTCCTCACCATACATTTTTTTATGGGTAGACTAGGGTACCAAGAATGAGTCAGGAGCCCACAGATGTATGCTGCACTGTTCAAATCGTTGATTGTTTGCTGGTTTCCTTCCATCCAGAAGAGCTCAGGCTAATCCTTTTGCCATCCATTCCTTCTGGCTCGATTCGTGCCATGGCAGACCTCGATGCGGGCTGCATCACTGAGGCAGGTTTGGAAAGACTTGATACCATGCGCGAGAGGTGTCTCAACTTAATATTTGCGATACTCAGAAATGCCTAGCGGTTCAGAACCGAACACAGGTAGAAAATGCAGGGTTGAACTTATTTGCCTGACAGTGAAGAGGTCCAGGATGCACGCGTTAGTTTGCAGGTAAGCGGTAAGCAGCCTTTCCAGAACGCTTTTACATTTCATTGCTACATCTTCACTCAAGACTTGATGCGGTCATCTCTTGCAAAACCGTGAAGCTACAAATGCATTCTGCATCAGCAGCTGGAGTGCAAACTGATTCAAACTAGAGAAGATCCTCGGTTGTTTGTACTCTCACTCTTCGCCATTATACTTAATTGTACTTATACATACTTATACTACCTTTTACTGATATGTGTTTTCCTATGTTTTCCTTGGGATCCAAGTAGATCCAGGTTACCCGACCTGCAACCACAGTGTGGCAGGACTTGCTCGCCCTGACCGAGCACTTTGTTGCTGGTGCCATGGAAGATTCCAAATTTGTTGCCAGGAACCATGAAGATGGCACGCCGCCAACGCACGAAGAGGAGGAAGCAATGAAGAAAAACCGCGTGGAGTACCTTTTTTTTACAAGTCAGTCTCGCATCATGCAAATCACTCACTTGGCACATGTATGCACATGTAGCATCACTTTAGCACTTGACTCATTTTCACATCCTTTTCGATACGTGTCTTGCATACAAGTATCGATAGCTGTCATTGATTCAGATTGAAGTGTTTCTTTTTTGCGCCTGTAGACCACATTTCAAAATCTTGTGAGTTGCTTGCCCAAGGTACTGGCAAGGGATGCTGCATGGTGCACATTCGATGGTGCCAGGGCGAGACACGGTGCCCAATCCTTTTCGGGCCGCAATTCTGGCAAAGATGGGCTTTAGCAGAGATGGTATTCTGCCTGCACAGCTCCCCCTTCGTCACCTGGCAAAATTAAGATGATATGTTTTCCCAGCTTGGTACGTGACGTGTTTGTTACTTGCAGTGTTTTGTTGTCCTGCTGAGAGTTGTCAGGTGCGAATTGCAACACGTTTTCTTTCCAGTCTCTGTTGGATGACAAAACAGCTGCCACTCTTGCGATCATGGAGTTGGAGCGGGCGTATCATGGATCAAAACTGCAAAGGGAGTCTGCCAGTTGTACAAAGGGTTAACATGATTTCAACTACTTCTAAGTATGAAGTACCGGATAAATGGGGTCAAACTATAATCCAGCTATCAGAGATAGGGACCTGTAGTTGCAGTGCTCATTTTTTATGTTTCAGACCTGCATGGTTGATGAACTGGTGTTGCTGTGTGGGATTCCAGAAACCCTTCATCACGACATGTGGTGTCCTAAATCCTAGCACTGAAAACCAGGAACCCCCAACCACCAAGCAACCGACCTTGATAAGATCTTATAGCAGGTGCAGCTGTTTGCGTGTGTCTCTCACCAGAGCTAGGGGTGATTGCCCACTGCCTTGCTTGCGGTTGTTGATGATCATGCAGCTCTCTACTATGATACAAGCTTAAATCAGTAGCGAAGTCTTGCTATGAAGATCTATGAAGTATTTGCTCGCAAAAGATGTTGGGCTTGCCTGTGGTTCATTTGTTTTTCACGCGATAATTTCGACGTATTTCGACTTGTTTTCCAAGGGCTCTCAGTGGGCAAACCTCCAATCCGCCCATGTATCCAGACTTGCTGGAGCACACAAAGCTCTTGGCACACTCCGCACCGGTTGATCCGGTCATCGAAGAACCCACACAGCTTCCAGCTTCCGAAACAGTGCCTGGCACTTTCGCCGAAGCGTTTGCCTGGTTTCTGAAGACCATCAGTTGATCGCTTTGGTTCGGAGTTGGTCAGTTGATGTAAGATCCTTTTCTTTCCGTTGTTTCCCATTGGTGTCTTTCGAGGTGGGAGGCAATGGCTGCAGCTTCGTGTCATTGTAAGCGAAGATGCTTCATGTGAGTCCCAAAGCCGGACGAACTCAGAACCTGCGGTGATACATCTCAGATTTGGCAGCTGAGCACGACCTGAAGGACATCTTTGACACAGCAATTCAAATCTGAACATCACAAGATGTTGAAGAAATCAGCTGGCTCCAGCCAAATCTACAGATGCAGTAGTTGCAGCCACAATGAGCGAAATGAACTTTAGAGTCACCTGAGTTGGGCCATGCTTGGCCATACTTTCAGGTATCGCCGATATCACAGCCACGGTGGAAAAAGACGTGCCATGGCGTACCTATGGGGCGGAACCCGGCAGTGGATGACAGTGGGGTTTGGCAATTCAATTCGGGCGCGCCAGGTCTCCTGAACAGCTTGAGGCGAGACAAGAAGCGAGACGTTGGCACGTGTCGACTCGTGTCGCCAGTTGTACCATACGACTTGTTCAGCTGTTGTTCTTGGACTTTTTTTCCAATTTTCTGCTTGTTCTCCTAGTTGAATGTGTTTACATTGAATTTCACTCGCAAACACTACATCGACTTACTGCTGATGATCGAACGTTACAGCAGAGATTGAGCCGCTGGATACATGGAATTCTGAGCCGCTCGAACTCTGCGTAGGCGCTGTGCTGGCTCTTGGACATCACAGGAAGCCGCCTGGAGCCAAGACTGAGATTTCACCAAAATGATCATTGGTTGTCTATTAGTGGGTGTTTATTGAGTTTATTGAGTTTATTGGCACTTGGTGTCTATAAATTAAATGATATATATATATATGTTGAAACTATTGATATTTAGATCAACATTGGGGGTGAATCTGGGTCATATATTGCAAATGATCCTTCTGGAACTGTCCATGAATGGTCGATGAAGAGAAGATTGATGAAGAGATTCTGAAACCATAGAATTTTCTTCAACGCAAATTTGAATGAGGACTTACCATGACATACCATGACTTTCCTACAATTTCTACATTTTCTTGTCAAACTCAGGTCGTGTGCGCCCTGGGGACGCGCTTGACAAGGGTGTTCGCTGGCGTGTTCTGGCCCAAGAGTCGAGTCCACTTTCTGATTTGTGTGTGAAATCGCACAGGAGTCCAGCAACTCAGCAACTCAAAGGAGTTGCGCATGCACAACAGTTCCAACAATTGAAGAATCCTTTGCTTGCAATGTGCTGAGGCTTGTGCCGTTCTTGATGGCTTTCTGCGAGGATTGTCAAGACAAGGTTTGGTCAACATGTCAATGATCCGCCTGTTGCTCTCAGGATGTTAAAACCATGAATAAGAGATGAAGTGAATGGAAAGCTGGCCAAGACTAGAAGATCAAATTTTCCCAGTCTGCACGAGAGCTGAGCATGAAAGGCTTCGCAAAGCTGCCCAAAGAGCTGGGGACCAAGAAGACGTTTTTGAAAACGTGGGTTTTAAAGTCAGACTGACACACTTTACTCAAATGGGTCTTCTTTGCCTGCCATGTCACAACTCTCAGGCTTCAAGCCTGCTGCATGTCGGTTTTGCTGGTATGTTTCTCAGTCCGGCTGGGTGCAGTTTCCATGGGCATGACTCGCTGCAGTTGTTCACTTCTCCTGATCCTTCTGATTCCGATTTGAAATGGCGCATCGTCACTGCTGAGGCGCGTTGCTCCGACCGTTGTTCCGATGTACGTCAAGTGGCCAGAGTCTTGGCCTGGCAACAAACGCAAGGCCGCAAGGTTGAGTGAAGAAGTGGGTCTTGCCACAGGCATCCGATCCATTTTGGATAGTACTGCATTGGGCCTTTCTGCTGGTGCCAGGTGCTATTCTCCCTGCATAGAGATCTGTCTTGCACCGTTAATGGGGGGCCCCTCCAGAAGGATTGTTGTGCGCAAGGAAATGGAACTTTTGAACTCTCTAATGGCCAATAAAGTGCTAGGAAGTCACACCAGAAGGTGCATCAAAGCCTTCCACGCTTCCAGGCCAGCGAAGCGCTAAGCACCTTGGGAGGATTGGACAAGGAGACCTCAGAAGCTGGAGCCTGAAGGCTGACCATAGGGACGGGATAACAGATTCACTCACCAACAACGATGGACGTGTTAAGAGTCGAAACGTGGAAGAAATTGTGGTTATTATGGCCTGTTCCTGTGGTCTTGGTGGACATTGGTGTGACGCTTGGATATGCAGAAAATGCTTCACACTGAGGTCTTGCGGCAGAGAGTTCGGGGCCCAGGCGGCCCAGGCGGCCCAGGCGGCCCACGTGGTTGAGGCTAAAATAACACGGAGCTTGTGAGTTCGTTCCCAAATTGTGTGAGTCGCTCGACTGCTGTGCCTTAGGCCTTGAGTGATTGCAACGAATGCGTCAGGGCAGCTTGCGTATCCGCGTTGCTTCAAGGCTTCCCTGCGGTTACCTTTGGCCTTACCACACTGTTTTCAATTGTTTTCACAGAAGTATTTCCATTCAGGTCATACGATGGTCGCAAATCCACCGTACAGTCCCATACAACAAAGTGCTTGGAAGAAAGCAACCCCTGAAGCTCTTATGCATTCAGCATTCAAAGTGAAATGGCACACCTGTGACCAGGCAGCCATGCTGACACCGCTTTGGAGATCATATCAGCTAGCAGCCATAGCCTTGGCATTGGGCACCGGGTGGATGGTGTTCAATTTGTCATTTCTGTTCCCAACTTGCAGCAGTGCTTGAACTCAGATTGCGTCCACTTTCGAGGCAACTTGCCATGGTTTTCCCTTCCTTCTGGTTACTGCAATATTTTGCGCATTCCTTTCACATCCTTTCACACCATTAGATCATTACACAATTTGTCATGATTTGCCAATGCACTGGAGCTATGCCACCGGACAGTTTGAAGTCATCTTTTTACCTTGTAGAAAGTCTTCGCGGGATATTCTGTGCTTTGTCTGCACAAAGGTCTGGACCTAGCACCTCGTGTCCGGCGGCGCGTGCTGGATTCCATGGACTTGACCAAGCTACAAGGCCCACCGTAGGGAGCGACTCTTGATGGCAGGTCCAGGTATGAAAATATCAAACTGGAGGGCGACAATGCGGATGTGGGAGGTTCATGGAGGTTCTGGCTCTTTGCTTCAATAATTTTCCATAACATCTTAGTTTGCCTTGGAAGGGCACGATCCCATTGGGAGGCAGCTCCCTTGTTAGTGCTCTTTGCTCGAGGCGACCCGGAATCACTCTTGGCAGCGGCGTGGCGCAAAGCAGTGCTACAAGGTCTTGGTGTTCGATCCTCAGTGCTATCATCGCTATCATCCAAGAGTCTGCAAGAGGAGGTGCTCAGTTTGCGGACCAACGTGGACCAACCCTCAAAGGTTGAACTGGAAGCTGTCTCTCAGGATCGCCTACGCTCAGTGCGCCTGGCTGCGGTGCATGGGTCTTGGATAGATTTTCGCCTGAGACAGGACCTTTCTTGGCAGAAAACAATGGGGAGGTGACTTGAGGCCAATTCGAAGCCAGTTCAATAGCTTCCAAATGTCAGATCTAGTTGGCCTTGTTCCAAATTAAAACATCTTGGCGTTCTCTACATGATTGCATGCAATGAATACGGCCTGCTCATTTCTTTGCATCGCTTCTCCTGGTTTCGACCAACGGTCCTTGGAATCTGAGGCGATGTCTGGTTGCTGACGTGCAACAGCTTGGGGATAGGCCAGTGTCTAATAGATCTGCAAACTACGGTCTTGAGCAAGTTGAATGATTGAAGTCGCAGGAAGAATTCATGCCGCTGTTGGCTTTGATCCGGTTTTCTTGCATTTTCAGGATCTCAGGAATTAAGGTTTTGCCACATGAAGCATGCCTGTTTTTACGATTTTCTATGAGATCATGCGCAACATGTATCCTGGTTGCTCTATCCTTTGCTGTTTGCGCATGCTGGGCCACATGTTTGTTCTACTTCAGAATTTTTTTGAACGATGCCCGCCTTGCTCAGGGCATTGTGCCTGAGAGATGTTGATTTTGCTGCAGGAGTGGGCAGTGCATGCTCTCAGCATCCGAGTCATACCGTAATATAGGCTGATGGTATTTGGATATCTTTGGATTGTCTGAGTGAGTACATCACCTGCCTGCAGAGCGTGGATTTGGGACAATGCTAGCCTCGACTACCTCACCCTGCTTGGCTTGCTTCGGGGCTTCAAGACAGGAGCAACTTCGCGGATCGTGAGCGGCATCGCAGGGGTGGTGCGCCAGCCGAACATCTTCGACGCAGAGGCCGTGGCATGTCTCGAGATGTCTCGAGCCGAGCTCGCTTCAGCTGCGCAGGGAGAAGGTTCCTCCCGTGCACTCCGCGAGTTGTTGCGGAGCTTTGACACTGTCATGACCTCAGGGCATCTGTCAACCTAAATTGGCCAATCCAAACATATATTTTGGAGACATGTACGGATTTCCATGCTGAAACAAGTAGAAATATATACTGTACCGATCTGTACCGCAACATGAAATATAAAACTAGAAAAAATAGAAAAGAGTTCAGAGAAGTCAGTAGGCTATCCACGCAGCAACCGGGACGCCCCGAGGACAAGAGTTTGGAAAATGCATCTGTGGCTGAAGCCACAAAGGCCTGGAGCTTGGATGAAGAGAGAAAGTGACAACACGTTTCTCCTGCACCGACACTGACATTCTGGCAGTCTCACATCAATAACACACACCATGACTGTCCAAGAATGCACAAAATGCGGTTTGTTTGGTACATTGACTTGGTCCTGTGGCTGGAAGAATCTAGAATATCAATGAATATCATCATCATTAAACCATGTTTATTTATTAATGTTTATTTTAATTATTACTAGGCTATTTTATGACATCTTTACATCCACCTGGCCCCGGCGCGTGCCAGGGTCAAGTTCTCTGGGCCCGCATCACCTTGCACCTGGCCACTGTGCTGGGAGAAGCTTCACCCACAGAAGAAATGGCCTGGGGCCAAGCATCGAATTGTCACAGCCCATTGGTCATGTTTCACTTAAATATTGGCGATATCACTGTAGTCATTGGGGGTCATCATCCGATTTTTAGAATTGAAAATCAATTTCATCATGTGAACCAAACCACTTGAAGCACATCAATTTGGTAAGAGCTGGCCATTTCGTTCCATGAATCGTGGGCAGAGATTCTCAGAAACAGAAAAGGGGCGTGAAAGGTGTTGATATCTTGATCAGAAAGGAGCTGTCTCTTCCAACTAAACTAATCCTTCCAAAGAATATTTCCATCATATGATATATACCGTATATACATCCGTACCACAGAAGATAATCCTCCCAAATCTTGGGCCTCAACCTCAATCCATTCAGTTTCGAGGTACAAGAGATTCAGAAGTGCATGGCGATGCTGCATGAGTCCTCCAGCTCCTGTGCTGAATGGATTCCAGAATCAGAAATCACTCAGCATAGCACCACAGCAATCCAAACTCTAGGTGTTAGCAGAAGGTTGAATGGGTTGAATGGGTTGAATGGGTTGAATGGGTTGAATGGGTTGAATGGGTTGAATGGGTTGAATGGGTTGAATGGGTTGAATGGGTTGAATGGGTTGAATGGGTTGAATGGGTTGAATGGGTTGAATGGGTTGAATGGGTTAAATGGGTTGAATGGGTTGAATGGGTTGAATGGGTTGAATGGGTTGAATGGGTTGAATGGGTTGAATGGGTTGAATGGGTTGAATGGGTTGAATGGGTTGAATGGGTTGAATGGGTTGAATGGGTTGAATGGGTTGAATGGGTTGAATGGGTTGAATGGGTTAAATGGGTTGAATGGGTTAAATGGGTTGAATGGGTTGAATGGGTTGAATGGGTTGAATGGGTTGAATGGGTTGAATGGGTTGAATGGGTTGAATGGGTTGAAGGGGTTGAATGGGTTGAACGGGTTGAATGGGTTGAATGGGTTGAATGGGTTGAATGGGTTGAATGGGTTGAATGGGTTGAATGGGTTGAATGGGTTGAATGGGTTGAATGGGTTGAATGAAACAATGTGTATATAATCAGGATGAATCAGGTACAGTGACGATACCTTTTATTCATTACTCCTTTGCATCTGGCCCAGGCGGCTCGAAGATGAGGGATGAGGTGCACGAGTTCAGTTTTTTTTTGAAGACACACATCTCAAATAGATCTACTTGCAGTTACTTGCATCATGAAAAATCAAAGTTGTCTTGGACCTTTGTGAAACGATGGTGAACCTTTTCTCTCCCTCTCTCTGTTGTCTCCGGATCTATTCACAAGTGGTCATGGGCATGCATATGAATACTACATCGACTTGTTAGGATCAAGACTCGACTGCAAGACACAGCATCGACTGGCATAGGCCCACTTCAAGTTGTGCCAGTGGTTGAACTGCGCCTTGGTGTGGCGGCCGAGGTGTAAATCGGTTTTACTTGAACAGCAATGATAGAAACCCTTGGATGCCTCTGCCACTGTGAGCAACGTTCTCACCAACACAGACAGTAGACTTAGGTGTGCGACATGCCAGCGGAATCAGCAGGTCGTTTGGTCGCCCCAGGAAGAGATGTTGCACTGGAAGCTGCCCATGCAGGACCTCAATGGGTATCAGGGGGAGAGCCCTTGTTTGGCAATCAAAATCAAAGAGACATCAAGTGTTCTACAAGTTATACGATATATAGTATGATATAGTTATCCAATTTATCCAGCTAAAACAATTTGAAAACAGTTTGAAAACAGTTCGAAACAGGCCATAACAGGCCAAACAAACACCTTAGACACCCTCCTTGGCTTGACCAACACGAAGAGCGTGGTGCCCTGAGGTGAGCAACTTGTCCAAGTAGCTGGAGCTGCCCTCAAGGAGCGGTTTTTTGATGGTGGTGAGCGTTTTTTGAACGTCGGATCCAGCCCCTAAAGTGAGTAAACAAGTAAAATCAAGTAAATAGGTCCATGTGTGGAAACTTGAGTCCCTGCAGCATAGAGTCCGTGGTGTTCATTGGAAGGTGTCACCATTGCAGCAAACCGTCAAAGCCCTCCTCGAAGATGGCATCTTCCCGTCACTCGGCTTCGCAGTGCTTCGCCTGGAGGGATGGAGCCAAACTGCAAAGCTAACCGAAACAAAAAACGAAAGTCGCAGGGGAATCAACCGAAACAAGGTGTGAAGATTTCTTGTCGGACAGCAGCTTCAGCATTGGTTGTGGTGCTTGTGTGCATTTCACATGATATACGCCAAAGCAGCCACTTGCAAGGGGCGGCTTTTTGGGCGATGAGCGGTCTTCGGACCCTCCTTCCTTTGAGCTGGCGGGGAGACTCAGATTGTCCAAGCCAACAAATATGGATGCCGCAGTTGAAAGTGGAAGTGGCACCTGCAATGGAACCGCTACTCACTCGAGTTGCTGGAGAGGACTCAGCAAAATTCACCATTGATGGGCTACGGTTCTGATGTGTTTCTGCGTCAAGCCTTATGGTGTAGAAGAATGATAGCCTAAACACCTGTGAGCACAACTGTACTATCAACAGAAAAGACATGAAGAGCACTTGCAGCCTTTGTAGACGTTGCAGCAAGACTTCCTGAGTGCTATGCTTTCACAATGGCTTAGGCAACGTTGCTTCTCCGGCGAGACCGGCTACCCAGGAAAAAGGGCTGGTTATGACTAGTTATGACAGTGTGTACGGTCATGTGAGCAGTGCACCTTGCTAAGCTTGCTGAACACAAAGCAGACTATGGTTGCATTTGATTCCCAATTGCAGTTCTGGCCTTCAACATGAATTATATAAGTATTATCTGACTGTGACCATGACATTGACGTGTATGCTAACTTCAGTCCTGAAGGTCATTGCTGATGGGAGCACTTTTGATGTGAATGGAGCACAGGCTGGCTGTGTTTCTGGGCATGTGTCTGTTCGTGTATCTGTCTAAAGGGAGAAGTACCTGTGCATTGTCCTTGTACTTGCTTCCATCGTAGTCCAATGGCCTACTTGTCAACTTGTGCTTGTGTCAGGGTATGAAAAAGCCGTCTCAAAATTTAGCACCTGCCCAACACACCCAGCTTCTATGGATTTTTCTGTTCATCATTTTTTCTGGATGGCTTCTAATGAGCATTGGCCCGACTGTGCAGGCTGCATCTGCCGCTGAGGTGTTGTAAGACTGGCCTGTTTAACTGGGTGTTTTGGCATCCTTTGGAGGTCGGAGCAAATCTAACCGATCGCCATTTCGGCATCGCTCACGTTTGTTGAACTGATAACCCTGGCCGTTGAACTTCTTGGCTACTTCTGCTACGCAGGTTCTCTTCCTTTGCTGCGGCAATTTTCAACAACCTGAAGAAGGTCGTTTGGACTATGTTTTTGACCTGCTCCGCCCCAGCAATTATCATACCATGTTATAGCATTGTATTTGGTGACTTTTTTGCAAGCACCGCGGCCAGCAAATTTTCCAACGCTGCCTTACTGTATCCGCAGTTCACAAAATGGGTGGCACTGAATCATGACATCTATGAAGCTGGCAGGAAAGAGATGCAGCCAATGAGAAATTGCTCGAAGCCCAAGATGAACTGAAGCAGATGGAGAAGGACGGCGCAATTTGCCGGGCATCGCAGGCATCGCAGATCATCGCAGCTGGAACTGATCTGACTTGCGGCCAGGATCTAGAAGACCAGCGCTGGGCAGAGGCCAATCTGTGTCAACTGTGACACTGCATCGTTTTACTGGGGAACTCATAAACCATACATAACCATACCAAATAGGCCAAATAGGCCAAATAGGCAGCGGGCTCAGCAACTAAACAGGCTGCACCTTCATGGATCAAAGCGGCAAAGGGGTCGACGCCACACAAGGCACGTTGGATCAACAGTGACAGCAGAGGGAAGGTGGTTGATTCTGCTTGATGTGTAAGTTCATCTGAGAACACCTGAAACTTCCATAAACTTCCTTGATCAGACGCATTTGATTGTCATGGAGTCATGGGTGACTGCAAAGATCATTGATGGTCCGATAGATCAGTGCTGTGCTCGGTACTGGTGAAGTCCAACGTCTCCTGGCTGTGAGGCTATCGAAGACATGGGCGAAGACATCGAGGCTCAGCATGGCAGTGCTTTCGATGGATGGTGGTGATGAAGATCAGAATGATGGCCACGATGAGTACTATGTGGCATAGTCGCATAGTGCCTGTGAATGACAAATCACATGTCATCATGTAGGTCCATGATTGTTCGAGAATAACTATGTGAAGATATAGGGCCAAAATAATGATTATAATGTAAAGCGTTATTACATTAAACATCATTAAACGATATACACACACATATATTCTTAAACATTGTACATACCATGTCACATGCTCCTTGGGATTTAGGTTCATATTTATTCCCACCACTCCACGTCTCCCATTGTTCACTCTGTTCATGTACGTCGTGGCAAGCGAAGGCGCTTCGAGAAGAACACCATCAGTGCTGCCTGCGCGCCCTGCTTCTGGCGACAGCCTGGTTGAGATACAGCGACAAGCTCAGCGGAGCGGGTGAAAATTGGGGACCTGCGATCTGGTGAAATGTGAGAATGCTCCAGCCCGGTCCATCCGGCAAAGCTACTGTCATTGGAAAGCCTCAAAGGGGAAAGTGTTTTCTGGCAAATTTCAAGTTTTTGCTTTTTGATATGTTCCATTTTCAACTCCCTCCTTTCAGTCCTTTCAACCCTTTTAGCTCAGACTGAGACTTCCTCGGCTTTCAGGCCGCTGTCCCCTGCAACGAGATTCCAAGCAGAGACAACTTCTGCATACGGCAGGGGGTCGTAGATGGGCGGTCAATGATAAGTACGAACTTCGTCAAGCTGCAGGGTTTGACAACATGGACTGAATCAAAGATACCAAAGCTATCCAAAGCTCCATTATTATGGCACACCAGTGATCACGTTTTAAGATCAAAGTCCAGTAGCTATAGGATGCTATAGGTAGACTTCGATTGCTGATGTTTGCCGTCGTGACATATCTTTAGAGGGACCTTAGGACCTTGATCCACGGAGGTTTTGCTGCCAGTCGTCACCGATCCGGTGCAACCCGTCTACAACAAGGTAGCCTTGCAGAGATTTTGCATCATGGTTCCGTCTTATGTACCTCTGACCCTGCAGATCTAAAACGATCTGCACTTCTGATTTGATTGAGAAAACTTGAGGGAATTGGTTCAAGCACTTCTTTGGTTGTTGATTGAGTCACGTGTTAAAGAAGGTATATATTACGTGTGAGCAAAAGTGAACTCTTAGTATTGGTCAGGTGGCAGCCATCCATGGCATCGCAATCTACGCATCCAAGAGCGAGGACTGCATAGATTTTTGGCACAGCTAAGGTGGTGTTGAGCAAAGATCCTTCAGGGACTGGAAGAAGATTTTGCTTCGTTTGTTTTGTTTGTTTCGACATGCAGGCAAAGCTGTTTCCAGAGCCTTAAAGGCTTCGTTTACGCCAGGAGTATGCCTTGTCGCTGTGGGACTTCTTTGTGAAGCTCTTGGAGGTGCCGAGATCACTTCCTCCTCATGCGTTCCATGATGTGCTGCCCAATGCTGCCCATGACTTTGCCAAGGAACAAGATCTCGAACAATTGAATTCCATTCGAATCACGGAGCGGGAATGGGCAATGGCCATGCCTACAGTCGAATTCACATCCCGGGTCGGGTCAGTCAGTTCTGACTGTTTTGTGTAATCAAACAGCACAGATCTACCTCATGAATGTTCAGGATGCAAGGTTTTGACTGCAAATCTGTATATGTGTGCTATTTTGTGATGCTTTTCAAAAGATCAACGAGGAGCTCTGCGTGCTCTTCATTTGCGACTCACTACTTCATCCGGCTGCTCGTGAGAAACGCCAGAACGCCTCAGTGATCCTGGCGAGGTGTGGCTTGTTTTCTGGTGACCGGGTTGGACAACCAGGTGACCACGTCATTAAATCATTAACGAAGGCAGTGATCTGATTGACTCTCGAAAGAAATTGACGAAGGCAGGTCCAACCCTTGAATTTCTTGAATCAGCTTCAGCTTGACAGTGGGAACCATTGGATATTGGATTTGAATCAGCTGAACTTGCCAAGTTCGTTTGCCAGGACTGTCATGTCAGTGGAGGAAAAGACTGCTCAGACTGGGAGAGCAGCCTTGCACCATTTGCGCGCGGTGTTGTGGGACACCTGCTCTTGCTTCAGACCATGTGAGTGTATTGCAGTGTATTATACTACGATATGCTGTGCGTGTAGTTGTGAACTTTACGGGACTGCACTATAAGACCATAAACGTGTACTGTATACAGCATGTTTGGCTGTGCCAAGTAGTTCAGCGGTCAGAACGTGTTGTGTCAAAGGTATGCTTCCAGAGTCAAGGGACCATTTTCATCCATTTTCAAGTGTGCAGTAGAATTCTTTTGCATACTTTAGAGGGATCACCACCATACATTGCTTCCATCACTGGCTGGTCCTGAGGATCGGGTTTGCTGCTTGGCCCTTCAAGGCATGTTGGAAGGTGCAAGCGGAACTTGGCTCTTGGGAAAAGGACTGGAGGTTTCTCGAGCAGCAGGCAATGCCATCAGGTTTCATGTTTTAACTCGGTGAGTGATTAGATGAAACATGATGAAACCGTTGCTTTGTATTATTTGTTTTACATTTGCCTCTGGTCCTCACTGAGACGACTGCAGGTTGTTTGCCGCTCTTCTGGGAAAGGCAGCGAAGGTGAAAAGCGCTCATGCAGAAAGAACCAAAAGAGGCACATGCACGAAGTGTGGAGCTTGGATGATTTGGATGTATGTGCTTGGCAGCCTTGTGTTTCTTTATGTTTTCTCCCTATGTCTTTTCCCAGACTTTTATGGTGGCTGATTACCCGTTGGCCAATTTCCACTGCTGAGGCATACACGTCTCTGGGGTTTCAGTCAGAAGCGAAGTCTGGTGAGAGCATTCTGGGCTTGCTGGATGTAGGCGATGATCCGATTCGCCGAGCAGTGCTTCGCAGTCGTTTGATGAGATTCTTCGCCTGCTTGACAAAGGTCTCTGCCGAGCATGCTGCACTGCTACTGCAGGCAGTAGAGGCCTTCTTTGGGGCACGCCTCTACTGCGCCCATCTCTCTGGTCCGGACAAGGAAGCCAAGGAAGCAAGCAAATCATGTGCAGTTGGAGCTGTCCGTTTGGTTTGTCACTATTTGGGCAAAGCCAAAGAGAGCCTAGCATCATATGGCTGTGATGCAGCTGAACTGCAGCTGAATGTTATCAAGCAGACTGCTGCAGCTTACTTGTCTGCCCCATGTGCTGAAGCGAAAGGGTTGGCTCATGCACTGGGAACGGCCATTTTGGCTTCAGCAGATGGTGGGCCATGCTTCGATTGGGCGGGAAAAAACACAGACAAACTGCGGGACGCAGCTCGATCTCTGTTGCGAGATTGGTCGCCAGCTACTTCTGCCAAGACCACAACATTGCTGCTGCAAGAAATCCACTATGCTGGCCAGGTGCCTCCGGAGACCGGACGTGAGTTTGCACAGGAAGCACTGGATTCAGCTGCGGATTTCCGACATGACCTTGCAGTACTTGGCTTGACGCCAATTGCCAATCCAGGAGTTCGAGGACCCACCAAGACGTTGTATGTTCCCAACCCAAGGGTTGGCTACTGGCGCAAACCTGAGCCCACTCAAAAGCCCCGCCAGCTTCCAGACCAGCTTCCAGATCAAATGGAGGAGGAGGAGGAGGAAGAGTGGGAGGAGCCTGCTGAGATCTGCTGGCAATTAAAGGGATGCTGGAGAATGATGCACTGAGTATAGTCAGTTTAGTATCAATGCTTCCACGACAGTGTTGTGCCAAGGCCGAATCACTGTTTGCACAAGCGAAGCATGCGCGATGAGTAATTTGTTCGAGCATGTGCCTGTGAAAGCTACGAGAGGCGTCCAAGCTTTTTTTAAATTTCCAGTCCTTTGGAATCCAAAGTGAATGTATTTCTATCGATTCCTGAATGAAGGGCATACTGAGTATATATATATAATTATATATATATACACATGTATATATATAAATATATATATATATAATATCATATCTGTTTTCTTTTTGTCTTTTGGGACTGTCAAGCGGCAGGAGCCCAGCCCTGAGATGGTGTCTCGTTGGGAGATTCTTGATCGCCGTGGCGCTCGACTTGCGCTGGTTCCACGCGGAAGTGGCTTGACACTTGGGCGACACCGGGGCTGCGACATTTGTGTCGACACGAGCTCAGTCAGTGCTCGGCATTGCCTCATTACCTGTCTGACTGGAAGCAAGATTCTTGGCTTAGAAATGAAACTTTAGAAATGAAACTTTAGTTGGGAGCTGTTTGGCATCTATTAATCAATCACTTCTCATGGTTTGGACAGCTGCAGGGGTGTCCAGTCTTTCTGCAGCTAATACTAATCATCATAAGACTGCAGCAATGGCGACATGCCGAATTTCTATGTCACATGGTCTTCCAGGAGAGATTCGTTAATTCTCCGAGACCTATCCAGCAACGGCACCTTTGTCAATGGCATCCACTTGAAAGAAGGCGAAGAGCTTGGCCTCAGAGACTCGGCGGAATGTCATTGTGATCAAATCATGGCATAGCCTATCAAGATGATGCAAGGAACTTCTAGCCTTGGGATGATCACGAGTCACCATGATTCTTAGGTAGCATAGTGGAGGCTTTTTTTTCGTGTCTAGTTTTCAAAGCAACGCCTTTTTTTATAGCCATACTCCAATCTTATCCTCTGCACACGAAGCTGAGTCCAGGTCATGGAGATGTGATTACCTTGGCTACTCGAGATGGACAGGCATTTGAGGTAAGGCAGTGCCAAGTGAAGAAAGGAGAGGATCACATGCCTGGAGAAAAGCTGCAGGTCAGGGTTTTTTTTGAGGGGGTTGTCGTCACAGTTTCATGTCCTGTCTTGGTGTTTTTTCAACCACATTAGCTAGACATGGAGAGTAGTGGCAATCAAAAAGCTTTCTCATTGAAGTTGAATTGAGGATGGTCCCCAAGACCGGTGACAGATTACTCTGATTGCAGGCCGCAGCAGACTTTCAAGCTGTTCCTGCGCAGGCGAGGATCATCTAGGATAATCCATGGCATTTTTTGGCTGATAGCCCCTTAGCTTGAAAACTTGCACCTTGCAGGTATCAGGGGTGAAACGGCCAGCTGAGGCGTGGTAGTGGGAGAAACTTTGGAACGTTGAACCTGTTGAGGACCTTTTGAGATCTTTTGAGCACCTTTTGTTTTTGGCCCTTTACAGCAAGTGCCTTGGATGTGTTTCTGCAGCTAAGGTGCAACGTATTTTTCACTTTTTTTGCCATGGAATACGCATTGTTTTTCTTCATTTTCCGAATCTTTCTCCGCAGGGCAGTAATGAGATGTAATGAGTGTTTTTTCATCGTATTTGATCGTCGTGGATGCTGCCTTCGCATTCTCGATCCTTCGATGCCAGGCCCCGAAAGATCAAAGTGCTCCGCCACGTCGCCTTCGGCGAAAGACGAAAGATCCAAAGTGGGTTGTCGACGCCCGAAGCCCCAGAAGTCCAGCCTGGAAGTCCAGTGGCATGGGAATTCATGGGAAACAAATGGTAAAACAGGGATACTAGGACTAGACAGGTTAAAGGTCAGGTGGGATGTTGCTTTGTTTTTTCTTCACGTTATAGTTTGAAATGTTTGACTGTTTCTTTTTGATTATCTTGCTAAACGTGTTGTTGAGGTTGTTGTGATAATGTTTGGATTGAATGCAGGGGATAATTGTTGAGGTGGTCAGAGTTTCTATGTGTAGGTTCAGGTTCAAATTCTACCAAGCTGTTGTTCAAAGATGTCGAATTATTTGCTTCAAATTCATGTATTGATTGAGGTTAGGCGCTGTGGTTCCTGTTTGGTTTTGCATATCAAGCACCCTTCAATACCAAAGCCAGTCTGGCACAAATTGACTGAACCGATGTATTGTCCCTTTTCTTCGACATTCCGCAGATGCATCTTTGTGAGGCAGGTTGAGCTTTCGCCAGGCCGGTTCGTCCTTCCAAGCGGTCATGCACGAACACAGCCCGCAAGGGCTTTTCCGGCGCAGACCGTTAAAACTGGTTGGACTTTGTTGAGCACAGGGAGCGTCGTAGTGCTGGTTCTCCAAGCTCTCAATCAAAGGTTCCTTCCTGGCTTCTTCATGAACAGGGCAGTGAGGAAGACTGGGCAAAGGCTGGAAAGGACAGAGCCCGCCCCTGCACGGCCGGTCGAGGAGGAATACATCAAGGACTTCATCAATTCACCTCAACGTAAAGCTTTGAGCACCCCTTCCTTCTTGGTGGTCAGTGGTTCCCAAGGCATTGGGAAATCAACCATGCTGAACAATCTCATGTGTGAGCATGTGAAGAATGGCAAAAGGGTGCTTCCTCTTGATATTTCTGTTCGTCCTGGTGAGGACTTGAAGCTGAACGAGGCCCTACCCCAAGCATTACAAGCCGTAGATTTGTCCCGATATTACCCGTCAAATGTCAAATTTTTACTGGAACGGGTGAATGAGACGTCCAAGCACCGAACAGGCAGTGCCGTCATGGTATACCTGGAACTCACAACCAAAAGCCGCGGAGACAAATTTAGTAGGGATGCCTGTGATGACATTGCTTCCACCCTCGGTGCCTTCGCTCGCAACATCACCTAAAAAATGTATAAAAGATTGATCCTAAGAATATTTCTAAACTCATATTATAGCAGTATAACAACTCAAAATTTATTCACAAAAAAACCATAACAACCAACCACAATTACCTCATTCATTCCTAAAAATCATCACTACCTACCATCAATCACCTCATTCATTCCACAAAATCATCACTACATACCATATCATCATCTCATTCATTCCTCATAAATCATAACTACTAACTATCTATTACCTCATCCATTTCACAAAAACATAGCAGTCAATACATCATCACCTCATCCATTCCATACCCAAAACCAAACAACAACCCAACAAACAAAAAAACAAACAAAGCAAAGAACAATATAAAGAACAAAGCAACAAACAACAATAAATATTATTCCTTAGTCTTTAATAATCCCATCTTTCAAATACATAATTCTAATAGATAAATATTATTAGAAATATGTTAGTAGTAAATGTCTTCAATAATTACTAATTAAAAATGAAATGCCTGTATTCCTATAGTCTGCTGGGAAAAACAGGCTCCGTTTTTGGGAAAAACAGTGTCCGTTTTTGGGAAAAAAGTTTCCGTTTTTGGGAAAAACAGGCTCCGTTTTTGGAAAAAACTTGCTCCGCTTTTGGGACAAAGTGGTTCCGTTTTGGTGCAAAACTGGCTTGGTGTTTGGATTGGCTTGGGACAAAGCTCAAGTCTCACAAGTTTGGGTTTGGATTTTCGAGGTTTAGGACTGGGTGTCTCCAAAACAAGTCAACCGGTAGCAAGTTGGAAGGGTAAAATGCTCAAACCTATAAACTTCGATGCTGAACCTGTTTTGTGTTAGGTACTTTTATGAAATGCCACAAGCACGAACTGAATATACATAATTCCAATTGAGGATAAACATACTTAAACAAATATTAAGATATATAACTAACTATATACACAATATGCCTTGTTACTTTGTAAGCAACGGAGTTGAAATGTCAATGTCTAATCAAACCTTTGACTTTATTTGGAACGGTTTTGGCAACAAAGAACTCATTGACAGCGAAACGTCTCCTTCGTCTGAAGAAGGTGATAAAAGAGGTTTGTTTGTTGACAATGCTAAAAATGTCGAATGGAGAAAGCAGGACGACGGATACTACAACAGAAAACCGAACGACGAAACGTATTTCCAAAGATATTACCAAGACAAAACGAAACAACCGTGCGTATGCGATATATGCGGTTCTGACTTAAGTTGCAAATCAAACTTGGCAAAGCACAAGAAAACGAAGAAGTGCCAGAGGTTCTTGGTTTGAGTTCACTATGATTTTATGATACAAGACAATATCATAAAATTATAACCTAAGTATTTTTAATGACAAGATTGGAAAAAGAAAAGGTATTGGAAAGAATATACTACGACGTGGAGGACGGCTTCGGTTCGGTGAGGGACTTATACGAAAGGGCTAGGAAAGTCGATGTGGGCATAACTTTGGATATGGTATTTGCATGGATGAGGGCGCAACCCAACAAGCAAACAAGAAACTACAAGAACTACAATTCTTACACTGCTCCGTTTCCCAAGTATGAATTTCAAATTGACTTGATGGATGTCACCAGTTTGCTGCGAGACGTAGGTTCTGAAATCAAAAGTCAACTACGATATGGTTTAGTTTGCGTAGATATATTCAGCAAAAAATGTCACATAGTCCCTATCGAGAATAAAGATGGTGATGACGTTTACAAAGCAGTCATGGAGTGTCTCAAGGTATTAGGTCAGCCTTTGTCAATTTACAGGAAGGTATAACGCACGTAATAACAAAGACACACGCAAATCAGGCAGAAAGGATGATACGCACCATCAAAAAAATGATTGGGGACAGATTGAGGCATTACAAAACCAAAACATGGGTGGAAGTGCTAAAGCCATCATTGAATAGATACAACAACCAAGTCCATAGTAGCACCAAAACAACACCAAATAATGCGCACAATCTTGATAACGTAATTCAGGTCAGAACAAATCTGATACTGAAAGAAAAGCACAACAGAAAATATCCAAACATAAGCGAAGGAGATTATGTTAAGATATTCGATAAAGGAAAGGGCAACTATGTAGCAAGGAAAGAAACTAGAAGTCAGTGGAGTGAACGAAAGTATAAGGTAATTCTAGTTGGTCGTGATTTGATGAATAATAGGTACTATAAACTAGATGGAATGAGTAAAAGGTACAATAGGCATGAGCTACTTTTGGTTGGTTAGTAACTGTTCTTCGTTGTTTTATTTTTTTCGTTTTTCTCTTCTTTCTGCATTCATTTTATCTTTGTTTTTTTTTTGTATTTTTCTCTTTGTGTTTGTCTCATTGCTTCTCTGTTTTCTGCTCTATGCTTTGAATTCTTCTCATAATATTTATCCTTATCTTTGTAGGGTTTTGTTTTTTTCGTGTATTTTATTTATTTTTGTTCTCATGATGCTGTTTGTTTTTTCTTTGTACTTTTCAGTATTCTCTATTTTAATATTTTTTACTGTTGAAGGTGATGCTCTCCTGTGGCATCGCAATCTTCCTTTCTAGTCCTACCAGCAATACATTTGCTAAGACAGTTCTTATCATTTTCATTATATTCACCTTCTTTCTTTTCGGGTTGCTTTCTGTTTTGGCATGGGTATTCTTCAATAAGAACTATTTTACGGTTTTCAACATCGAACTCATCAAACGATTTCATAGAGAGAGGATGGCGCTTTTGGGGATTTGCATTGTTTAAGTTTATGAAGATAAGATTTACAATCTCTTCTATGTCTTGCCATTCTTCGACTCAGTTTTTCAGTTGTTGAATTTTTATCCATATATCTTAAATCATCTTTTCGTTACGTAGATATTTTATGACGTAATGTCCAAACGGGAGACTTTCAAAATCTGAGAACCAGTAGCGTTTATTATCGTAGTTGCTTAAAGCATATTTAGTCTGACTAATGCTATAGATTTGATGGTTTTTACTTCTGATCCTGTTAAAACCGACTTCTTCTTTACAGTTTCTATTCAATGTCTCTTCATACGTTTCGTAACTTAACTGATTGCTCACTTTATGCTTGACTACTCCTTTACTTTTCTTGTGTTCTTTCTCATCACCATATACTTTATAACAATATGCCTTCGGTTTCAATCCTATAAAGTGAGTAATTATCTTACCGTTCATTTCATCCTTGAGTTTTCCTAATACCTTCTTGTTTGTTTTATCATAGTTTGGATGCTCTGGTGGACAATCACTGAAATCCATGTATTCATTTATCTCCTCAAAGTCTTCATACAAGTCATCAGTCTCAACTTTGATTACATAACTATCAGTATCAGTATATACCAACTTAATTTTATCATCATATTTTGGTTTCAAAACATCATAGTAAAACGAATACATATGAATTTTAGAATAGTCTAAAATAGACATACCCATATAAATTGGTTTATTCAATTCTACTGTGTGCTTATCCTTTTCAACAATTACAAGGTCTTCATCTATTATATGCCTATGTTTATTTACCAGTTTTTGGAAGCGTTCAGGTGTATTAACTATTTCATAATCACCATGTTTTCTTACATTCTCCATGGTCTTACCATATATTGAGTTATTCATTAGCTTAAACAAATCCTTTTCAGAATCATTTTTAGCATTCTTTCTTTTTTCAGTGTTGAATTCAATGAATGGTTTTAAGAAGTTTGCTTGTTTAAAACTTACTACTCTATGAACTTTTCTTAATGATAATCCATGTTGTAAATAGAACTTTAATGCCGATATATGTAAAACATCTTTCTTTTTATCCATTAGATTTAATACCAACTTATTTGTTTTTTCATCACTGGCATCTTTTCCATAATAATATTTATGTATATCTTTTGGACTTGTGAAAGCATATTCTCATTAATACTCATGATTTCAGGTGCTAATGGATAGTCTTTATGTAAATCATGTAGTTCCTTTGGATAATATAAATCAACTTCTAATATATATCCTGTGTCATCATCATCATCATCATTATATTTTAATACTCTCTTTTCATCCATCCTACCGTAATACCATTTAAAATCATCATAAGGCAGTTTTTTACATACTGCTAATCCATAAAGATTATTAGCATCTAAATAACTTATATATGATGATGGTTTAGATTTATCATAATCTTCATTCATGTATTTATTGTTTGCTTCTACTTTCTTATACGAGCATTGCGTCATGCCTCCTCTTAAACCGTTTTCAATCATCTCATACATTTCCTTTATATGAATTTGTTGAAGTCTAACTCCTGTCAGCGATAAAAAGGCATTCCAAGAATAAGTGGGTAGAGTTATATAATATGCTGGGTCTAACCCATAATAGTTTAAACACATATCCCTAAAATTTTCAAATACATCAGTTAATAAATATACATCAGTCATCAAGTATAAGTCATGATATTCACCAAGATTTTTTATGTTAAAATGTTTCCATACAATATTTGCTCTGGCATAGTCTTTATCAGTTATATTTTCTTCATATAATTGACTGTAAAAATCTTCTTTCTTTGGTAGTTTTGTTTCATTGAATTTATCAAATGAATTCATATAGTCATATGGATATACTCCCTTATCAGTTAGTAAATTTAAATCAGTTTTAGATTTAATGTATGGATTGGTGCTTGTATATCTGAAATGAGTTTCCCAGTCTTTAATCTTTTCATTTCCTTCATACTTATTTAATCTAACTAATTTATCTAACGGTGCTGATAAGAAAGCAAAACTGTCTTTAAACTGACAAGCACCAAATGAAAAGGTTATAAACTTTTCGCTGTTTTGTGCTATTACATCTATTTTTTTATTTCGGTTAAGTTCTATGTTTAGTTCATTTGCTTTTGCTATGATTAAGTGAGCGTCATAATTTTTAAGGTTATGAAAGAAAATAGGAATTTTAAAATACCTAAATGAATAATCTAAATTACATTTAACATGTGCCGCGCCTCTGTATTTGCCTGTGAGGTGGCAGTGGTCGCGAACTTTTTCATCGTCAGGTTCAAATTTCTTACCACAGATTGAACAATTAGATGCTAATTTAAACTCTATTTTTTGTTCGTTTGTTAAGTCATCCATTGGTTTATTAACATTCATTTTTTCAAACATATCATTCCTAATTTCAGTCAGTTTTTCTACAAACTGTTTCATACAATCCTCACCTCTGTATAAATACGGTTGGCATGTATTATCAATCCTGCTTACTACATTTAACATATATCCGCAAGGTGTATGTTCCTGATAAGTGCCTTTTATTCCATTGTTAGAATTAGTTGTTAAACATTCAAAATCACCATAGATTACAAAAGGGCAAGTCAATTTAGTATTATGCTTTTCAAATTCTATATAACTATCTTTATCAGGCATTTTTGTTTGCTGTCCTTCTGATGCCATACATCCTTTTTCAAGATGCTTCTTATATACCTTTTCTGATTGAAATGGATTTAAGCGATGGTGGCAGTAGTGTTTTTGTTTTGTATTAGCGTTGCTTTGGCAGTTAAGTAATCTGCTTTTATTTTTTACTAAGACATAATGATAATTGTTATTTTCATCATAGATTTTAATAAATCAATTTCGTATTTAGAATTTCTATTTTTAGTGCCTCTGTGTAATATAATTTTATTATCATTTAAGCAGTCATCAGTTTCAAAAACATTTATTGAAACGGATTTATTGTTCTCTTCAAATCGGTCAATGTCTTTATTTCCTGTTGGAAAATTTACACCATCCCATTTCAAAATGTCATCATTGAGTTTATTGTAGTGGAACATTTCTTCTGGATGATGTTTGCTTATTTTATCAAAGACTACTGCTTGAACACAATATTTAAAACATTTTTGGTCTTTATTTTTAATGTTGATACATGCCTTTTTTAGTTTAATCCAGTCAGGCAATTCAATATGTCTCCCTGCTCTTGTTGGGTCATATTTGTCATAGTGAATTGTTATTGATAAAATCTTCTTGAAGACTAAATTAGATGCTGATGCTTCTAAATTTTGTATTTGTAATAAGATTTGTTTAACGCTGTCTTCTAATGCTTGTGTCAGTTCATCTTCATTACTGATATTGAAGCGGGTAGATGGTAAAGCATATACAAGTTCCTCAGTTCCAATTTCATTTCCTCCGTCGTCATATTTAGGTTTTTCAAATAATGCTTCCGTTATTATGTTAAGTTTCATGCTTCTATTTGCTCGTAAAAATTCTAATAGTCTTGCTTTTTGGTGAGCAATCATTTCCAATCCTCGTTCTCCTTCATAGTGTTTGTTTTCTAAAACTATTGAATTAGCATATCTTCTAAAAGCAGACTGAATATCCCTGACACGAAATTTGTTTCTTATAGCATGTTTAGTTAATAATTGTTTTACTCTTCCTTCATTTAATTTATCTTTTGCCTTGTTTAAAGCATAACTCCTGTATTCATTGGTTTTCTTTACTGTTAATAATTTCTTCGTTAAAACATTGGATATGGGTTTATCTTTATTGTATCTAATTTTTTTGTTGTCTATTACTATTGTTTTCAGTTCTTTTCTTCCTCTTTTTGGTATTTCTGCTAAATCATTACTCAATAAATAGTCTATAACTTTTTTCATAATATAATAGTATATATTTTATTTAGTTAATTTATCTTTAAGTAGTTTTTTAAAGAATGCCTTAATTTTAATCTTTGAATATATACTTAAAGAATAGTTATTTAAGTATATGGTAGGATGGATTGTGTGAAGGATTTACCTGTTGATGTGCTGAGTAAAATTGTGTCTTATAAGATTGGAGACCCTAAATATTTGAAATTTAAATATAATCATATTGAGGCATTAAAGAGAATACAAAACAAATATAAGATTTCAAGACTTGGTCCTAAAATAGCAAGACATTTGAAATCAAGAAAAACATATATGTAATTGAGTACTGTATTATGAGAGAGGGAGTGCCATTTAGTTTGAAAAGTATAGAAGACATAATAAAAGAAGAACAAGAAGAATTACTAACTTTGATTAAGACAAAGTAGAAGATGATTCAAATTATAGAGTTAAACTTGATATTGAAGTTCAATTAGTGGCAAAACTCCCAGAAAAGGAATATGGAGAAAATGAATTTAGTTATAGAGAGATTTATTTTATGAATGACTTTGATGAATATGTAGATGAAGATAATATAGATGACATATTAGAGAAAGCAGTTGAAGAAATAAAAACCGACATAGAAGAAGACCGAGATAAAGATAGTATAATAGGAATACAGGCATTTCATTTTAAATTAGTAATTATTGAAGACATTTACTACTAACATATTTCTAATAATATTTATCTATTAGAATTATGTATTTGAAAGATGGGATTATTAAAGACTAAGGAATGATATTTATTGTTGTTTGTTGCATTGTTCTTTATATTGTTCTTTGCTTTGTTTGTTTTTTGTTTGTTGGGTTGTTGTTTGGTTTTTGGTATGGAATGGATGAGGTGATGATGTATTGACTGCTTTGTTTTTGTGAAATGGATGAGGTAATAGATAGTTAGTAGTTATGATTTATGAGGAATGAATGAGATGATGATATGGTATGTAGTGATGATTTTGTGGAATGAATGAGGTGATTGATGGTAGGTAGTGATGATTTTTAGGAATGAATGAGGTAATTGTGGTTGGTTGTTATGTTTTTTTTGTGAATAATTTTTGAGTTGTTATACTGCTATAATATGAGATGTGAAAACTTCGCTCAATCAACCTTTTATACATTTTTTCACCTACGACAATGCCGCGAGCAAGTTCATTTTGGAGGTCAGCGTGTCTGCTGTGGCCGACATCATTCACCGAAAGGTTTACATAAGGCTGGTTGTGGTCCGACCGCTGCCTTTCGAAGACTTCACATCTGTGGTCAAGGAGGTGGCAAAGCAGGGAAACGACTTCCGGACGCTGAACAAGGTTCTTGCCGAAGATGACATGGACGAGGTGTTGAAGCACTACTACATCCGCGTGGGGGGCAACTTGGGCGCCTTGGACTTCATACTGGAAGACGTCTCCGGAGAAGGTCAGAAAGGTGCGGATGCGGTCATCAAGCAGGTTGAGCAGTGGTACAAGGAGAGGGTGGAACCAATTGAAAAGAAATTGGATGACCAGGAAGTGAAGGACTATCTCTTCAAGGTGGCAGAGGCAGGACCCATGGGGTATCTCCCAAACAGCAAGCAGACGACCCAAATGAAGTTGAAGCTTCTTCGTGAGGAGCCAGCAGACTGCGTCCTGAGGAGAACAACCAATTTAAGAGTGGCTTTGAAGCATTGGCATTTCGTCGCCAAGCTCTTTCAAGAGGATGAGCAGAAGTTGAGGGATGCAGGATACATGTGAGCTTCGCCGGTGAAAAAAACTGTGACGCTTGAGATGTTTTGTGGGTGAGTCATCCAAGAGTAATTTTCACATATTGCATGCATAACCGCAGATACCCAACCCTATAGTATCAATGATACCCAGATATCAATGATACCCAGATACCAGTATCCAAGTATCAACGATACCCAGAACCGAGTATCAATGATACCCCAAACCGAATATCAATGATACCCTGATACCAGTATCCAAGTATCAATGATACCCAGAACCGAGTATCAATGATACCCAGAACCGAGTATCAATGATACCCCAAACCGAGTATCAATGATACCCAGATACCAATATCCAAGTATCAACGATACCCAGAACCAAGTATCAATGATACCCTGATACCAGTATCCAAGTATCAACGATACCCAGAACCGAGTATCAATGATACCGTGATACCAGTATCCAAGTATCAACGAGCGTGTCTGCTGTGGCCGACATCATTCACCGAAAGGTTTACATAAGGCTGGTTGTGGTCCGACCGCTGCCTTTCGAAGACTTCACATCTGTGGTCAAGGAGGTGGCAAAGCAGGGAAACGACTTCCGGACGCTGAACAAGGTTCTTGCCGAAGATGACATGGACGAGGTGTTGAAGCACTACTACATCCGCGTGGGGGGCAACTTGCGCGCCTTGGACTTGATACTGGAAGACGTCTCCAGAGAAGGTCAGAAAGGTGCGGATGCGGTCATCGAGCAGGTTGAGCAGTGGTACAAGGAGAGGGTGGAACCAATTGAAAAGAAATTGGATGACCAGGAAGTGAAGGACTATCTCCTCAAGGTGGCTGAGGCAGGACCCATGGGGTATCTCCCAAACAGCAAGCAGACGACCCAAATGAAGTTGAAGCTTCTTCGTGAGGAGCCAGCAGACTGCGTCCTGAGGAGAACAACCAATTTAAGAGTGGCTTTGAAGCATTGGCATTTCGTCGCCAAGCTCTTTCAAGAGGATGAGCAGAAGTTGAGGGATGCAGGATACATGTGAGCTTCGCCGGTGAAAAAAAACTGTGGCGCTTGAGATGTTTTGTGGGTGAGTCATCCAAGAGTAGTTTTCACGTATTGCATGCATAACCGCAGATACCCAACCCTAGTATCAATGATACCCAGATACCAGTATCTAAGTATCAACGATACCCAGAGCCTAGTATCAATGATACCCAGATACCAGTATCCAAGTATCAACGATACCCAGAACATCCCAGAACCAAGTATCAATGATACCCCAAACCGAATATCAATGATACCCTGATACCATCTGATAGCAGTATCCAAGTATCAATGATACCCAGAACCGAGTATCAATGATACCTAGAACCGAGTATCAATGATACCCCAAACCGAGTATCAATGATACCCAGATACCAATATCCAAGTATCAACGATACCCAGAACCAAGTATCAATGATACCCTGATACCATCTGATACCAGTATCCAAGTATCAACGATACCCAGAACCGAGTATCAATGATACCGTGATACCAGTATCCAAGTATCAACGATACCCAGAACCGAGTATCAATCATTCACCGAACCATCAACAACAGACAAATCGTTTCACCCTGATTTTTTTTAGCCAAACCATCAAACACGGACAAATCGTTTCACCCTCAACTTTTGACAAAAGCATGAAACACGGACAAATCGTTTCACCCTCAACTTTTATAGCCAAACCATCAAACACGGACAAATCGTTTCACCCTGAACTTTTGACGACAAAAAATCCTTACTTCAACAAGTGTCCTAAAACCATCGTTTTAGCGTTCAAAAAACATCAATTTAGGACACTTGTTAAAAACACAATTTTTATCATTCGTACGTCGTAAGATTTGACATTATGAAAAACATGTATGAAAACCTCACTGATAAAAAAGTAATCATTGACTGTGGTAAAAAACTTAACCGTGATGGTAAATTCAACCCAATGATTATTAATATAGCTCTTTTATCAATAGCAATGGATGAACTAAACGATACAAACAAACCGTGCTTAACACAAATGAGAGTAATTGAAAACTGGTGGGATGGAATAGGAAAGCGGAAAGCATAAATGAACAAGACGTCAAAATTACTTAAAGAACAAATATCTATATATAGTAAGTGAAAAAATGCCAATGATTGGAGTTAGCGAAGAGGAACTGAAAAGAGATAGAGAAATATTAATAAATTTCATAAAAGAAAATCCGTATCCTGATTATAAATTTATAGAATATGACCTACTACTTAAGCAAGAACAATCTTTAGAGCAATACGCAGAGTATGGAGAGATAAACCACGACCTTATGAAAGAAATTTATGAAAACATATTTGATAAAGATTTAATCAAAAAACACAGTGAGAGGATACACCATAGAGGAGGAATGACAGCATTACAACAAAACTATTACTGTATACATCTGTATACACTATTGTCAGTGTTGGGATACTTGATTGACCAACGAGGACTTGATAGAGACACAATCATTTTAGTGTTCTACAACATCAAAACGATTGTTTCTCAATGTTGGGATGGCATAGGTAGCGGTGATGAAAAGTGGAGACATTATAGTGACGGACAATCACTTAGAACGTATTTTGGAAAAAAAATTCTGAATATTACTGCTTTTTTTACGTTCTAAGCCTTGCACTTAGAACGTCGAAAACCATACACTTAGAACGTCCAAATATCAAGATTCATCACTTAGAACGTACCGGGGATTTAACACTTAGAACGTGTCTAGGTCACTGATGATAGTGGAAAGGCTTGTGAAATCTTTTATCTCTAAGTGTTGGATTCAGCAGCTAATTCCGTAGGAAACATAGACATAATTTCGTACCATTTGGTTTTTCCCTCCCATATGATTTGCAAAAATTGGCGATCTTTTATCTCTGGAACGGTATACCCTTTGGTGCTTTTTGGGGGTTCTGAGTTCTGATGCTCGAAGTGTTGGATTCAGCAGCTAATTCCGTATAGGAGACATAGGCATAATTTCGTACCATTTGGCTTTTCCCTCACAAATGATTTGCAAATATTGGCGATCTTTTATCTCTGGAGCAGTATACCCTTTGGTGCTTTTTGGGGGTTCTGACGTTCTAAGTGTTGCATTCAGCAGCTAATTCCGTAGGAAACATAGACATAATTTCTTACCATTTAGCTTTACCCTCCCATATAATTTGCAAATATTGGCGATCTTTTATCTCTGGAACACTATACCTTTTGGATCCTTTTGGTGCTTTTTGGGGGTTCTGACGTTCTAAGTGTTGGATTCAGCAGCTAATTCCGAGGAAACATAGACATAATTTCGTACCATTTGGCTTTTCCCTCCCATATGATTTGCCAATCTTGGCGGTCTTTACCTCTGGAACACTATACCTTTTGGTGCTTTTTGGCGGTTCTGACGTTCTAAGTGTTGGATTCAGCAGCTAATTCCGTAGGAAACATAGACATAATTTCGTACCATTTGGCTTTTCCCTCCCATATGATTTGCCAATCTTGGCGGTCTTTACCTCTGGAACACTATACCTTTTGGTGCTTTTTGGGGGTTCTGACGTTCTAAGTGTTGGATTCAGAAGCTAATTCCGTAGGAAACATAGACATAATTTCGTACCATTTAGCTTTTCCCTCCCATATGATTTGCAAACATTGGCGATCTTTTATCTCTGGAACACTATACCTTTTGGATCCTTTTGGTGCTTTTTGGGGGTTCTGACGTTCTAAGTGTTGGATTCAGCAGCTAATTCTGTATAGGAAACATAGACATAATTTCGTACCATTTGGCTTTTCCCTCCCATATGATTTGCCAATCTTGGCTGTCTTTACTTCTGGAACACTATACTTTTGGGTGCTTTTTTTGCGGGTTCTGACGTTCTAAGTGTTGGATTCAGCAGCTAATTCTGTATAGGAAACATAGGCATAATTTCGTACCATTTGGCTTTTCCCTCACAAATGATTTGCAAACATTGGCGATCTTTTATTTCTGGAACACTATACCTTTTGGTGCTTTTTGGGGGTTCTGACGTTCTAAGTGTTGGATTCAGCAGCTAATTCCGTATAGGAAACATAGACATAATTTCGTGCCATTTGGCTTTTCCTTCCATATGATTTGCAAATCTTGGCGGTCTTTACTTCTGGAACACTATACTTTTTGGTGCTTTTTGGGGGTTCTGACGTTCTAAGTGTTGGATTCAGAAGCTAATTCCGTAGGAAACATAGACATAATTTCGTACCATTTAGCTTTTCCCTCCAATATGATTTGCAAACATTGGCGATCTTTTATCTCTGGAACACTATACCTTTTGGATCCTTTTGGATCCTTTTGGTGCTTTTTGGGGGTTCTGAGTTCTGATGTTCGAAGTGTTGGATTCAGCAGCTACTTCCGTAGGAAACATAGACATAATTTCGTACCATTTGGCTTTTCCCTCCCATATGATTTGCCAATCTTGGCGGTCTTTACTTCTGGAACACTATACTTTTTGGTGCTTTTTGGGGGTTCTGACGTTCTAAGTGTTGGATTCAGCAGCTAATTCCGCATAGGAAACATAGACATAATTTCGCACCATTTAGCTTTTCCCTCCTATATGATTTGCAAACATTGGCGACTTTTATCTCTGGAACACTATACCTTTTGGATCCTTTTGGTGCTTTTTGGGGTTCTGACGTTCTAAGTGTTGGATTCAGCAGCTAATTCCGTATAGGAAAGATAGACATAATTTCGTACCATTTGGCTTTTCCCTCCCATATGATTTGCAAATCTTGGCGATCTTTTATCTCTGGAACACTATACCTTTTGGTGCTTTTTGGGGGTTCTGACGTTCTAAGTGTTGGATTCAGCAGCTAATTCTGTAGGAAACATAGGCATAATTTCGTACCATTTGGCTTTTCCCTCACAAATGATTTGCAAACATTGGCGATCTTTTATCTCTGGAACACTATACCTTTTGGATCCTTTTGGTGCTTTTTGGGGGTTCTGACGTTCTAAGTGTTGGATTCAGCAGCTAATTCCGTAGGAAACATAGACATAATTTCGTACCATTTGTCTTCTCCCTCACAAATGATTTGCAAATATTGGCGATCTTTTATCTCTGGAACACTATAAATTTGGTCTGCTTTTTGGTTGATTTTGGGGGTTCTGACGTTTCCTACGTGTTGGATTTCAGCAGCCTAATTCTGTATAGGAAAACATAGACATAATTTTTTTTTCGTACATTTGGCTTTTCCCTCCCATATGATTTGCCAATCTTGGCGGTCTTTACCTGCGAAACTATACTTTTTGTTTGTGCTAAGGGGGGGTTCTGGGTGCTTGGGGCACACCCTCATGAAGGGCGCTAGAGGTCCTACCCTTCTTGTCGTTTTTGTTGCCTGTGAGTTGTTGGATTCAGCCAGGCTAATTCCGCATAGGAAACATAGACATAATTTCGTACCATTTAGCTTTTCCCTCCTATATGATTTGCAAACATTGGCGACTTTTATCTCTGGAACACTATGCCTTTTGGATCCTTTTGGTGCTTTTTGGGGTTCTGACGTTCTAAGTGTTGGATTCAGCAGCTAATTCCGTAGGAAACATAGACATAATTTCGTACCATTTGGCTTTTCCCTCCCATATGATTTGCAAATATTGGCGGTCTTTACCTCTGGAACACTCTACCTTTTGGTGCTTTTTGGTGGTTCTGACGTTCTAAGTGTTGGATTCAGCAGCTAATTCCGTAGGAAACACAGACATAATTTCGTACCATTTGGCCTTTCCCTCCTATATGATTTGCAAACATTGGCGATCTTTTATCTCTGGAACACTCTACCTTTTGGATCCTTTTGGTGCTTTTTGGGGGTTCTGTCGTTCTAAGTGTTGGATTCAGCAGCTAATTCCGTAGGAAACATAGACATAATTTCGTACCATTTGGGCGGTCTTGGGGAAGGGGATAGTAAACAAAAAAAAATGAAAGAAAAGTTAAAAACCCCCCCCCCACACCCCGACCTCAGCCCCCCCACCCCCCACGACTCCCCATCCCAT